CGGGGTCATTTTTCATCTTCTTCTCCAGAAAATTAACTGCCTCTTGTTCTTTTGATCCAGCACTTGTTGCCTTCCAATTAATAGTTTTATTAGTTTAGTGAAAATACTGTTTTTTCTGAGGGAAGCAAAAGATGTGGAGAACTGCTACTATTAGCTCTATGGGTACACTTGCTCAGTTCATCTCAAGAAAACAAAGTTAGATGGTTTGAAATGTAGAATACTAACAAAGTATTACTCCGTACTTGAGAAAAACAAAAACGACTTTCAGTAATTTCCCATGTCTGCAAAATTTACCTTGTGACCAAAAAAATGACCAGCTGGATCACACTTGAAGAGCTGAGGTCCCTTTTCGTCATCAACGCCCACAACCATTGCAACTTGACATTGCAAAAGATATCAATAAGAACAATAATAACATAATAATATAATTAATATTTATTAAAACAATACTACCGATTCTGGAGCTATGGTTAAGCATTAATTAAAGAAGAACGCATTTCATGTTTTGCAAGAACAAATAATTCATTAAAGGATCCCATTAATTATTAAAAAACTGAATGTTTCTTGAAAATTACATAGGATAATCTATCATCATTACACCTTAAACATAACCAGCCATTAGGGCTGCGCTTAACACTTTCCTGATAATAATAATACTCCCTCTGACCCTTAAAATTCTTCCCGGTTTGACTTGGATCGGAGTTTAAGAAAGTGGAAATAAAGTGGAAATGTGTGATTGTGGTTGAGTAAGAAAAAGGTAATGAATGTTAGCCACACAAAACTTTCCAAAAAAGAAAATGGGAAGAAATTTTTGGTACGGAGGGGTAACTTATAACAAAAATAATAATAACAAAGGTCTAAAATAACCCAGAACAAGTTAATAGAAGATTTGAGGAGTGCATGTGGGTAGTGACAAACCTATTCCAAGGGGTCTCATGTAGGCATGCTGAGTATAAACCTGGGATTTGTCTGCAATCCTGTTTGTGTATACAGAAGAAATATATCATTCACATCATCAAAAACTTATATGTGCCTCAAACTCTAATCTGTTACCATAGATGTTGAATATCTAAAAACAAATACCCATTAGTGCACCAAAATTTTGCATCTAGAGGCCCTACAGTCATTATGTGAAATGAACCACTCCCTTTGTTCTGAAGTATCTCTTTAGACATCTAAATACATATTAAGGAAACACTATTTTTATCAACCTCAAGATAAATACTATAATATGACTATAAAAAACCTCATTAATGCACTAAAGATATGTAAATACCAATAGAGAAGCAAGACCAGGTTGAGAATAAAAACGTCTAAAGTGATACACATTAAAGAGGGGAGGATGTAATTGCAATATTGCATACTAGCCCATGCACTATAGAACACAACATAAATACATGATAAATAAAAAATAATAGTGGTATGATTAACAAACCATCTGGCAAGCACTTCTACTGGCATTTCGTATCCATATTTGAAACGGAATTCTGCAGCTTCATTTCTTGCCTGTTGGACTAGTGTCCTAGCATCAGCTGTCAAAATGAAGGGTCAAATATCGAGTAAAAACCTTGACCTTCAGTACATAATGTTCATGAATTGAAATCCTAGCACTGGATTACACTCAACATAAGAACACCGATATGCGTTAAGAGGTTATCTTTTAGGTTGGAATCCAAGATCTAATCATATGCAGAAATAATTTATATGCTTCAAACACAAATAACTTTCTGACAAAATGGGCAGCATAGTGTTTCATAACTCTTTATCTCTTTGAAACTTGAACCGTGAATTTGGATTTTAAAAAGAGAAAAAACTGAATGCAGCATAACTATGCTAACAAAAAAGAACTACCACTACTACAAGAAATAGAATTCTTTTAATAGATAAGCTAGCATGGAATATGATTTGGAAATATTATCATATTTAGTTGTTTTGGGAAGATTATTTAAGAGCTAAGATAAGCTGTTTATATAGTGTGTGTTTAGAGAACACATGGAAAAAGTTAGGAGACTTTGCCCTGTTTTGGGCTGATTAAAATCCAATTTGGCTTAATAATCTACTCCAAATAAATTGAAGCAATATACTTAAAGCAGTAAAGAAGATTTAAGTTTTCCAAAAGTCATAGGCTCTATTGATATGTTTACCCAAACAAAGTAAAAAATCAGTAAAAATATTGATAGCAGAACTTATGCTGATAATAAACTTGTTCACATAACAATTTAGGCAATTGTAACCAATAACACATAAAAACCATAGGAATGATCAATCATATTATTCACGTTGCCAGATAAACATTAACTAATACCCTAAACCCTATAAACAAAGATAATAATGTATACACCCACATAATATGCTTGGGAGTAAAAAGAGTACCAACCAGTCACTCCAGTAGCCAAAAGTCCTAAATGCTTTGTGATTTTGAACAAATGAGTCACACTTGTCTGGTCCAATAGCTTATCCTGTTCACAATAACAAAAATCAAGTAACCCCCAAATTACAACTTTAAAGGGAAGAAGTTGCAATACTTATATAGTAAAGTTTATTCTCCAAATTAAAATTTTGTTGCTAGTGTTCAAATCTTACATCAAGTTCTAGTTTTAGATACATTTATATCAGCTGAAATTAGAAAATCAGCTCATTTCACAGCTTTAAGAAAACAAAGCAGCTATGGATAAGCTTTTTCAACAATTATTATATAAAAATATATTGCAAGAAAAACAATCGAAACACAGAGAGCATAGAAAAAAGTAATCTAATTAACTTCAAATCAGTTTGAACTGAATATTCAATAAATACAGAGCTCGTAAGATGTGAACTTTACTGGAACTTTCTTCTGAGTAACCACACAAACGGAGTCTCTTCCACGCACACCAATGGAGGTGATTCCGACAGCCTTAACGGCTTTGAACGCGTACTCTGTTCACCAAACAACAAAACATCGGGGAAATGTTGGTCGTTTTTGAAGAAAATTGAGAGAAGAGCGAATTGCGATTAGCTTACCGACTTGGAAGAGACGACCTTCGGGAGAGAAGATCGTGATGTGCCGATCGTAGCCCCCTCCGCTTCCTCGACTCATTCTTCAACTTTTCTGTAATTAATTTTCTTTGTGAATTGAAGAAGTTTCAGATGTTTGGATTTTCCCAATTCAGCACTCCATGTACTCTAGTCCTGGTGACGCCAACTTAGGGATCAAGAAAGGTCTTGCTACGCGCCTACGCGCAATGAACTCTTTATTTGTTTTTTAGTGGGCAAATAAGTCCTCGAACTATTTACAATTCTACAATCAGACCTTTGAACTTGAAGAATTATAGATAAATTCCTCAACTCATTGAAAATGATGCAATAAGGTCCTTTTTACATGTTGGTGCCGGTAATATTTCATCTTAATTACCCCCACCAACAGGTAAAAAAGGATCTGATTGCATCATTTTCCATTAGTTGAGGGGTGTATCTGCAATTCTTCAAGTTCAGGGGCCTGATTGCAGAATTGCAAATAGTTGGAGGGCTTATTTGCCTCTTTTCTGTTTTTTTGAAAGGTATTACAGTATAAAATGTTACTCTGTATTACTCTTTCATTTGGTTTTTGAGTTTTACAAAAAAACATCACACATCACATTAAACATTTTCGTATGATCTTTTATATGACACTATTAATGCATAGTTTAAATTTTGAAAAAATATTTTTGTTCTAGTCTAGTTTGTTTAAACCTCGTAAGGTAATCGTTTGGTTGATATGATTTTACTATTATCTAAATCAAGTCTAGTCAGACCCGATCTGTTTAAGTCTTATAGAATCTAATTTTTTCAATTTAAGTTATGTCTGGTCTAGAACTGAAATCACTCTAATGAAAAATATCCAAAACTACGTTCACATTTGTACCCATAGATATACATGTATTGCCTTACAAATAAGTCAAGAAAAATGAAAATTACACATAATTGTTTTACTAGCGTTAAAGAGGTTAGAGTTTTGAAGAAATAATTCATTAACTTTATTGAAGTGTATCATATGATTAAAATTAAGGGCTCGTTTGATTACGTACTCTGCTTATCATGCTTATCAACCTACTTTTTCACTTGACACATAATTTTTTATTTCGCGCATTAAATTGTGTAATAATAAAAAAAGTAAGGTTGAAGTTACTTTGCTCCTGTATTGACTGAAGTTACCATTGAGGACCATTTTAAACATATAATGTTTAATAAAATGTTTTTTAAACATAATATTTTCATATATCAGCCGAATCAGCCACTGCAGCTGGAATTTCATAAATTTCAGCAGAATCAGCCAATTCAACCTATATTGGTATTATCAAACGGGCTCTAACTGTTAAAAGTTGTATAATAACCCCTATTTTCATATTATCAATCTTATCGGTCAACTTTTATAAAAGATATAACTATTGATTTTGTGTGTTGGATTGTATAATTATCAAAACAAGTATGGTTAAATTTTTTTTCCTAGCTTAATCAGATGAAATTATTTAGAAGACCATTTGAGTTTTTTTCCGTCTATCCCATAAAAACTTGGTCAAGTTTAACCTGCACAGAAAATAATAAAGTAAAAATGATGTGGTTGAATTTTATGTAGAAGAGAGAAAATACCATGAACTACAAATTAATTAATTATTTTTTTGAACGAGAACTACAAATTAATTAATTAAAAAAGTAAATGACAAAAGTTTTTGGATTATAAAAATAGGAAATATGGTAAAACTATCAAGGACAGAGAGAGTAATGTTAATCATGTTTGTGATGCAAAGGACCAATAATGAATGAATCGATAGTAACTGCCGTTTTCTAATTTTATCAAGTACAACAATTTTGTTCCATAGAAAATTGTTAAATTGAATTCAATCAATTAGAGTGAGTTTAGTATTGAATTCAATAAAATATTAAAGTAATATTATGTTATTTTTTCTAATTTGGAAGAGTAGCGACTAGGGAGTAGCAACTCTGCAAATACATAAAAATAAAGACAAAAATGCATAAACATAGATCGGCGCACAGATGGAAGGATACGATTGTCAAAGTGCCAATTTTGTGGGTGGGCAAAGGGGCACCGATCAAGAAAAGTGAGTATTTGGTGGTTGGAAGGCTTGTGACAGAAAAACTAATAAAGTTTCCCTATTTCAAGGATACTATAGCGGCGCTTTGGAGACCAATCATGGGGATGAATGTTAAGGAACTTCAACCTCGACGCTATTTGTTTCGGTTTTTCCATGAAGGTGATCTCGAGCGTATCATTAACGATGGCCCTTGGGCATATGAACAGAGTCTCTTGATCTTGAAGCGGCTGGAAACCAACGAAGATCCAGAATCAGTGGTGCTTAATCAGGCGGATTTTTGGATGCAAGTCCATGCCCTCCCTGTTGGTTATCGATCAGAGGCTTACCTTCAGGTAATTGGCAATTTTGTTGGGTCCTTTGTCGAGTCTGATGGAAAAAATTTTGATGGCATGATTCGTGATTTCTATCGGATTCGTGTGAAGTTGGATGTTTCTAAGCCTCTTAAGAAGGGGATGCGGTTAAAGAAGGATACAAGTGAATGGGTTTCTATTAACTTCCGGTATGAGAGACTCCCTACCTTCTGCTTTGTTTGCGGTTTAATAGGGCATGGTGATAAGTTTTGTGCAAAGGCCTTGCTTTCAATGGAGCATCGAGCTGAAAAGCCTTATGGGGTCTGGTTGCGTGCGGGTGGGCGGACTAAGGTTCCAACTGCTGGACAACGGTGGATAGCTCCAGAAACTATTGCAGAACGCAAAGTGTGGAAGGCACCCGGCATGGAAACTCTTATTGGCGTTAAAGGAAAAGAATCACAAATGGAAGAGAGGGACTTTTGTTTTACAGAAAAGGCTGCTCCTGAAAATACTTTTTCTACATCACTTTTCAATGCAGACTTAAGAGGTGAGTTAACTGTGATAGAACAAAAAAGGAGGCGTACTACGTCGACAAAAGACAACCCCACACAGGCCTCTTCTATTATGGATGCTAATGTTTCAATCCCAAAAAACTTGTTTCCGGCGGGTCCTGGTACTTCCCAGGCCCGCCATTCCCAATGAGTATTATATGTTGGAACTGTCGTGGCTTGGGTGATCCACGAACAGTTCAGGAGATTATGGCTTTGGAGGCCAACAAGAAACCCAATTTCATTTTCTTAATGGAAACGAAGGTCAGACGGATTCATGCAGAGCGCTTGAAGTGTAAGATGGATTTTGCTGGAGTTTTCTATGTTGACAGTGGGGGAGTAGGAGGGGGTTTGGCCCTCTTCTGGAAAACTAAGAATTCTGCCAAGTTGCTAAGTTATTCAAAGAATCATGTGGACATTGAGGTCAATATTTCCGGGACATCTCCATGGAGATTTACAGGTTTTTATGGCTTCCCTGAAAGAAATAGAAGACATCTTTCATGGGATTTGCTACGCTCCTTACGCCCTAAGTCGTCTCTTCCTTGGCTAGTTGCAGGGGATTTCAATGAGATTGCATCACCACATGAAAAGAGGGGACTGCATAGCCATCCTAATTCCCTTATGGACAACTTTAATAAGGCTCTCGAGGACTGTTTTCTTTTTGATCTGGGTGCCCAAGGTCGTTTTTTTACTTGGGAAAAAGGCCGTGGTACAGAAAATTGGGTGGAAGAGCGTCTTGATCGAGCTGTTGCTGAGGCCGATTGGTGTTTGCTCTATCCATATGCAGTAGTGCGGAACATGGAGGTTCTTACGAGCGATCATTCTGCTATATTCATTGATACTGAGAAACCTCAAGTTCGAAGAAGGAGGCGATCATTTATGTTTGAAAATGCTTGGCTAAAAGACTCAGGATGCAGAGGAGTGGTTAAACAATGTTGGAGCTTCACACAGGGAGAAGAAGTTCCTAATAGGCTGAAGTTCTGTGCAGGAGAGTTAAAAGCTTGGGGTGGTGTATTTGGAAAAAGAATTGCCAAAGATATTGATAGGCTTAAAATTCATTTGGGAAACCTCAGGGGTAAGTATGATGCTGTTTCGCTAAAAGAGTTTAAAATTACGGACAGTAAACTTCATGCTCTTTTACACCAGCAACATACCTATTGGAAACAGCGTGCCAAACAACACTGGCTCAACGAAGGAGATCATAATACAAGATTTTTTCACCATCAGGCGTCCAGAAGAAAAAGGAAAAATTATATTTCCAAACTCAGGGATTTAACCGGAAAGTGGCACGAGGGAGAGGCCATGAACCGTTTGATATCAACTTATTTTGTGGACATTTTCACTAGTAGAGGAGCCCACGATTTTGCTGAACTTGACGGATTTACTCCCAAGATTTCAGTAACTGACAATGCTAATCTCACCAGACCCTTTACGGCTGAGGAGGTAAAGGATGCAATCTTTTCCATGGCCCCAGATAAAGCCCCGGGCCCCGATGGCTTTAATCCAGCTTTTTTTCAACATTTCTGGGCTGATGTGGGAGCTGATGTTTCAGATTTTGTGCTCCATACAATTCAGTCTCGTGCATTCACGCCGGGTTTAAATGATACAAACATCTCTTTGATTCCAAAGAAAGATACACCGGAGTTGGTAAGTGATATGCGGCCTATTTCTCTTTGCAATGTCATATATAAAATCATGGCAAAAATGATTGCAAACAGATTGAAGACTCTTCTCGAAAAAACCATTGAGGAAACACAAAGTGCATTTATACCCAACAGGCTTATAACGGACAATGTTCTCATTGCTTCAGAGGTTATCCATTACTTGAACAGAAAGAGAGAGGGTTATACGGGCTGGTGTGCTCTCAAACTTGATATGGCGAAAGCTTATGACAAAATGGAGTGGGCATTTCTCCGTAAAATGCTGGAGGTTATGGGTTTTGAGCACAACTTTATAGATTTAATTATGTTGTGTGTCTCCACTGTTCGTTATCGGGTTCTTGTTAATGGAGACTTAACTGAGACTATTGTTCCTACTCGTGGGCTCAGACAAGGGGATCCCCTTTCGCCATATCTTTTTATTCTCTGCGCAGAAGGTCTTGCCCATATCATTAACCGTGCAATCGTCAAGGGGTATTGGTCTTATTGCAAAATCTCCAGAAACGCACCAGGTATCTCCCATCTATTTTTTGCAGACGACTGCTTGCTATTCTTTAAAGCGGACATGACAGAAACGGATTGCATATTAAGGTGTCTCCAGAAATATGAAATGATGTCGGGACAGACTATTAATTTTAGCAAATCTTGTATTATGTTCAGTCGAAATACCCCTGAAAATATTAAAGATAATATAGCTGCGGCCCTGGCTGTTCCCCAAGCTCCTAATATCGGAAAATATCTTGGTTTCCCTATTGGGGTGGGCAGAAATAAACAGGAGATTTTCTCTTTTATTGAAACAAAGCTCCGAAGCAGAATTGGTGGGTGGGGGAAGAAAATTCTTTCTCGAGCCGGGAAGGAAATTTTACTCAAAAGTGTTGCACAAGCCCTTCCCACCTACACTATGAGCCTTTATTACCTTCCCATTTCTTTTTGTGATAGGCTCGAGAAAATCTGTAACAGGTTTTGGTGGGAGTCTAAACCCGGGAATGGTAGTGGTATTCATTGGATGTCCTGGGACCGTCTTTGTGTGCCTAAATACCACGGTGGTTTGGGATTCAAAAAATTGCATCTTTTTAATAAGGCTCTTCTCGCTAAACAGGGATGGCGACTGCTTACTAATGGGAGTTCTCTGGCTTCTAGACTTATGAAGGCACGATACTTCCCTAATGGCTCGTTTCTTGAAGCTACTGTTAGCGCCAATCCTAGTTTTTGTTGGAGTTCGATCATGAGAAGCCAACAACTTTTGAGGGAAGGATGCTTTCGGAGGATAGGAAATGGAAGAACTACGAACATTTGGTCACATCCTTGGCTGCCAGACTCAAGTAATCCTTTTCCCAGTTCGGCTATTTCACCGACACTTGCAAATTCTAAGGTGGCTAGTCTTATTAATGAAAGAACTGGCGACTGGAATATGGACCTAATTCGGGAGCATTTTAATCAAAGAGATGCTGATCTTATTTTCAAGATCCCGTTTTCCCCGGAGTTTGATGATCAATGGTGTTGGAGGGGCGATCTCAAAGGCTTGTACTCGGTCAAGCAGGGATATAAGCTGCTATTGAATTCCCATTCTGCCATCGATTCTTCTTTTGCCGCATGGTCTCAACTTTGGCGTCTCAAAATACCTCCAAAGTTCCTCAACTTTATTTGGCGGTGTGCTCGATTAGTTCTTCCAGTGCGGAGTACCCTACAAAGTAGAGGTTTTGAACTTGATGACACTTGCCCCTTTTGTAACTGTGGAGAAGAGTCTGTACAACACTTATTTTTGGATTGCCCAATCACACAAACTATGTGGCCAGATTCTTTCAAAGAACTGCAACCTCACCAAAATTCCATCTTTCTTTCTTGGTTATCTGGGATCTTTGCATCAGGGACGGAGGAAGATAAGAAAAAAATTGCAGCTCTCTTGTGGACTGTTTGGAAGGCCCGAAATGAGCTCATCTGGAACAATAAACGCCTTAGCTCCTCAGAAATACAGTTTTTGGCCTTAAAGCTTATACATGACTGGACTTCACCTGCTCAGAATTTCTCTTCAGCAGTTGAGCCTGAACGACTTCAACTAATGGCTAATACTTTTCCAGAAAATAATGTTGTGTGTCGAGTGGATGCTGCCGTTGACCCACAGTCAGGGAAAGCTTACTTTGGAGTAGTTATTTGTTCTATTACTAACGACTTTATTGCAGCTAAAAATGGTCCTCTTCGGTATACTATAGACCCACACACGGCTGAAGCAATGGCAGTAAAAGAAGCTCTCTCGTGGATGCAGAATGAAGCTTGGACAAATATTCGGGTGGAGATGGATTGTCTCAATGTGTGTAATCTTCTGAATATTCCGACTCAGGATTTTTCTTACGCAGGTGCCATCATTTCCAGATGCAGATCTTTAGCAAGACAATTTAATTCAGTGTCTTTCCATTTTATTCGTAGATCAGCGAACTTGCTGGCCCATTCATTAGCCCGGGCAGCTTCTTCACAGGCTGGTCCTCATGTCTGGTTATTTGTGATTCCTCCATGTATTAAACATTATTTTCACTAATATATTTTTGCTGGTTTTCCCTCAAAAAAAAAAAAAAAAAAAAAAAAGAAAAGTGAGTATTTTCCTCTTGCCCAAAAGAAATTTTAAATATCTTCAATTCGCCCCGTAACTTTTTGAACGGTTGTAATTCGCCCCTGTTTTCACAATTTTCTTTACTATTTTTGGGAAACTTTCTTTTCTCTACAGTAGTATGAAAAACAACATAAACTCATGTACTCAATAAAATTTCATGTAAATACGTCTACTTAATAAAAGCAATCAGATGAGTCCTAATGGCATATCGACAACCTTATAATCCTGGTTATAGTTTATGTCAGACTATAATTCTAAAATAAATTATAAGGTTGATGTGAAATATTAAACCACGATTGGTTAAATACATGGCAAAAATAATGACACGTAAGCTAAAACCGAGATTATGAGGTCGGTGGACTAGTTGCTATGACTCATTCGATTGTTTTTTATAAGTAGGCGTACTTATATGACACTTTATTGAGTACATAACCACGATCACATAGTAGTAGAAGATCTTATTTGATCCTTTTTCCTTAATTTTTTAATTTTAACTTCATGCATCAAAGAAAAACTTAACTATGTCTTTAGACACTTCAAACTTAATTTTACAGGATGTTTGTATCAAAATAATTAGGTATCTATATACAGTAATACAAATGTAAAACTTTAAATGAAATTGTTTGTAATATGCATATATAGCGATGATTAAAATTTCGTAAATATAACTAATTGAACTTGTTCACGGGTTATTTTTAATATTTAAAATACATTTTTCAAATAAAAACTATTGACTAAAAGAAGATTGATATATTATTTTAAATAGTACTTGTCCCATCCCGCTAAAATTGTCCCATTTTTCTTTTTCGGAAAATCCTACTAAGATTGTCTCATATGAAATTTAATAAAATTTGTGTGACACTAAATCGTTTTTACTTTATTTTTACTTTATCAATTCAATATCAACCACATAAGCACATTTTTCTTTTCTTTTTTTAACTAAAAAGTAACTGAAACTTCCTTGCATCCTTTCTAATTAATCTCTACATTTGATTTTGTGATTTTTAAATAAAGTTAGCACTTAACATTGAGTGGTTCAAATGTGTACAGAGTAGAAATGAGAAGATATAAATGTTACGTCCAAAAAAAGGAAAGTGAGAAGATATGAATGTTACGGAGGGAGTATATGATATAGGTAGTTGACATATGTAGATTTGTTATAGTTGTACAGTTGTACTTCACCAAATTTAAAGTCATACATGGGTCAAAGTACTAGTGGTGGACTCGGGTCGGGCCACCCGACCCGTGAACCAGCCCGGCCCGCTACTGTGCAGGCCTGGGACCGGCCCGGTTCACCGGTCCGGGTACCGGGCTTTGACCCGGCCCAAGGGGGAGACGGTTCCAGGCACGGTTCCTTCAAAATGAGACCCGGCCCAGCCGGGCCCGGTTCGGGCCGAAATCAATATTGTTTTCATTTTTTCATTTTTTTTATTCCAAGGGTTGGGCTGTGTGTTTTGGGGGGTGGGGGTGAGGGGGGAGGGGTCGGGGGTTAATTAGAAAAAGCAATATATATATATATATATATATATATATATATAGAGAGAGAGGACTGCTCAGGTCCAGCCGGAGGGACGGGAGCAGTCGTCCGAACTTCACTGTTTGGGGCGGTTCCCGGTGGAATTTTTCAATGAAATTTTTTGAGCATGTTCCTCATCAAGTCTAGTTTGTCCATACCAAATTTTAGCTCAAAAATCGACCGGGAAGGCAGACAAATAAATTCTTGAAACTTACTGCACTTTATATATGCGCAGAATGTGCAGTAAGCTTCAAAAATTTATTTGACTGCCTTCCCGGTCGATTTTTGAGCTGAAATTTGGTATGGACAAACTAGTTGTTGAGTTTAATCCAACACGATATAGTAAATATATGTATGAACACTCAGTTTTTACGTGGAAACCCGAAAGGGAGAAAACCACGGGACTTTTTAGGCTAATGTCCAAGCCCTCTCTTTCTCATTAGAACTCTCCTCACGATTACATTGTACAAGCTCCCATTAATGGAGTATTGAGCTAAGTCTAAAAGAAAGGAAGAAGATGAAGCTAAAAAAGGATCCTTTACATGGAGGCTAAGCTCCATATTTATAGGAAATAGGGGGAAAGGGGGCTCTCCACCCTAACGGGCCGCATGGACCGGAATGGGCCCAAATGGCTAAAGTGGGCCAGAATGGGCCGAAACGGGCCTAACTGCTCGGGCTCCGTACTGAGTAATGTCCTGGGCTCCTGAACAGTAATAGGCCGGGATAATATATCCCAACACTAGTCTTGATGAGGAACATGCTAAAAAAATTCATCGAAAAATTTCACCGGGAACCGTCGTCCGAACGGTAGCGTTTGGCCGCCTTTCGGGTGGAATTTTTCGATGAAATTTTTATGACATGTTATCCATCAAGTCTAGTTTATCAACAAAAAATTTCAGCCAAAAACTCATTCGGGAATGTCATCAAATGATTTTTTTCAATTTAACTGGTCCGGAATATGTATTTTCCGGACCAGTTAACTTGCAAAAATCATCTGACGACGTTCCCGATTAAGTTTTTGGCTGAATGTTTTTGTGTATAAAATAGACTTGATGGAGAACATGCCATAAAAATTTCATCAAAAAATGCCACCGGGAAGGCGGCCAAACGCCGCCATCTGGACGGCAGTTCCTGTCCGGAATTCCAGACATAAACATTTGTGTGTGTAGAGAATTTTGATCAAATAAAAACAAGTCTTAACGTGTAAAATGAGAATTAATCTCAGCCGTCCAAAGTGTCGATCCGATGCACAATATCTGATGCACTTTCGAATAGACCTTATTTGATGCACTTTTCAAAAAAGTGCATCAAATAAGGTCTATTCGAAAGTGCATCAGATATTGTGCATCGGATCGACACTTTGGACGGCTGAGATTAATTCTCATTTTACACGTTAAGATGTCTTCTCATTTGAACTCATCCCTATATATATATATATATATATATATATGTATATATATATATATATATATATATATATAAAGAGGCCCGAGGCCCGGCCCGGACCGGACTCGGTGGATACCCGGGCCGGTACCAGGCCCACCTATTCAGAACCGGAGGCCCAGGCCCGGCTCGGCCCGAGTCCAGGACTGGGTCAAACATATTCTTTGTTAGTGGGGGGTATAGATTTTTTCTTCTTCGTGAAACATGGATATATTGCTCCAGTGATTGAAATAACTCACTGAAATAGCGCAGAAATAACTAAAGAAAAGTTGGCTGCATAAACATATTGAAATTAATGCCGTGTGCAGTAAAAATACGGAAGATAAAGACCCATTTGATTCAAGATCGCATTTTCTTCAGTATATCCTCTCCCGACATCTTAGGCGGTGAACGCTTATTCGAGGTGGATTCCCATTGACCCTTCACATTTCTGCTGTTAATATACTCCGAGAAAGATGGAATAGGGGGCAATGTAGTGGCAGCAGCAATGCAGACAGCTTCCTCTTTTTCATCCATTTCTTTGTCTGTTTCTAAATTAAGAGTGTGCTTGGTCTTCTCATGACCCGATAATACTAATGAAACATCAGACGGATTTGTTGGTGGTGGGCCGGCCTCCGAAGAAGAAGATACACTACAGCTGAGCTTATTTCTAAGTTCTGTGGGGTCTGCTTTTGAAAGCCACCTCACTGTACTTGCCATTTGTGATAAGTAAAACGACTTTCCACTTTTACCATACTTTTTGTAACATTCCTTTTCAAGAGTCGAGGCAGAATCTTCTAAGCTCAATCTGCACAAAGAGAAAAACCAATTTCAGGATAAAACCTTGGGGTGGAGTGGGGGATACTGCCTTATTACCTTGTATCAGAGAACCTCTCTTCATTTTGTTTTAATGCGTTTAGCAATCTTTGTTTGCCTGTCTCTCTTAACGTTTCAGATACTGCATTTTTGTCTATTTTATTTGCCTGAGAAAAAAACATGGAAAACTCAAAACTGTGGGCAAGTAGAACTCAATATCTAAGCCATGTTTGGTGATTCTGAAGAGGATGGGAGATGAGTGGTATTGGTTTTACTAATGATGCATCAGAAAATTAATTCTTAGTACTCATTAGTAAGGATTTTAAAAGGTTAATCGATTTAGGTTTAGTAATAATGGATTAAAATTGATTAGATTTATAAGACTCGTCAATTTTGAGAACTGCCGTCAAAATTTTTGAAAAACACTTTCTGGTTTTCATTATTATGTTTATAGCTTAAAAAAAATGGGAAATTGAAAATGGGACCGAACAATCCCTCAGAATGTGGTTCCTTGGTGATTTCTCACTTTCACTTACTTTCCAAGTTCCAACAACTAATAATAGAGATACATCAGCAAAATAAACATCACCCCCTCCCCAGTCCCCACCCTCCCTCCCTCATTCACCATTATCCTCAGACATACCAATAATAAGGACAACAACAATAATAATCATAGTAAATAGGGAAAACTGTAGTAAAAAGGTCAATTAAGTCCTTCTATAGGAGGTTCTGTCCGGCCGTCGCGATTTGGGGCAGTTCCTGGTGGATTTTTTTGATGAATTTTTTTGAGCATTTTATTTACCAAGTCTAGTTTACTCATACCGAATTTCAGCTAAAAATTCAATCGGGAACACATTCAAATTAATTCTTCAAGATAACTGCGCATTTTTGCATTCTCGAATTAATTTGAATGCGCTCCCGATTATATTTTTAGCTGAAAATTTGTATGAGTAAACTAGATTTGGTGAATAAGATGCTCAAAAAAATTCATCAAAAAATTCCACCGGGAACCGCCCCAAATCGCGACGACCGGACAAAGTCTCCTATAGAAGGACTTAATTGACTTTTTTATGAAAGTTCGAGAACCTATTTGACAGTTTTCCCTAGTAAATAATATGTAGTAGTGATAAAATTTTATTAAGAATAGTAGCAATAGTTATAAACTTATAACAATAATTTTAATAGCAAATTAGAAGAACAAAACCTGCTTCTCAGTATTGTTGTTCTTGTAATAATTCTCTTCTGCTCGTTGCAGCAATTCAATTTTGTCTTGGATTCTTAACTTTGTTGATGTCCTTGAAGAAGCTACATTCTTTGCAGCATCAAGAACTTCTGTATTTGTGCAAATTTGTATAATAAGCCTTTAAAAATTTTACCCTACATAATTCAAAAGACTACATGCATGCAAGGATTATTTTTTTATCTCGATCAATTGTACCGTCTGAATCAGAAATGTCTTCTTCTGACCCACTTGCATCATCCTCATGGTTCCAGAATTCAGAGTAGTCTCTGTCATTGAGGTTTTGTGCGCTACAAAAACAAAATCAAGTCAAATCCCGTACTATGGCAAGTGAAGCCAAGTTTGACTCATTTACTGAGACAGCATATCTGTGATTCCAGGGAATGGGGTGGGGTGCAATGCCTATGTTTCGATCTGGAAACCAAGGAATCAGGAAATTCTATGATATTTAAGTGTGTGTTTGGAAAGCGTACAATACTAGGGTTAGACAATAAGGTGGAAATAGAGAGGAACATTGGAATGAAAAAAAATTGGAGGAAAATAAAAGCTACAAACTCAACAAATTCATTTTATGCTAGTGCTTGTTAGAGCTCATTTTATATATTTATTTCTATTGTATAAAGAGTGAGAAACCTAAATATATGTCATCAACTCATCATCGTCATCATCATTACCCCAATGCCGCAAAGGCACCTTCGGTAGGGTAAGGGAGGGGTCGGATGTACACAGTCTTACCCCTGTAATAAAGCACAAAGAGACTGTTTCCGAATGACCCATAGTGAAAATCGCGTCGAAAGTTGCATGGACTAACTGCTTCATAACAAAGAAGCGCAGACAGTTTAGTGAGTCATTTTGCTTTATTCCATCATATTCCCAAGCCAAAAAATAGTAAGTGGCTCCATTGCAAATGATGGAAACTAGACACCTAAATATATGTAACCATTAAAAAAATCATTCATAGTCCATTTCCCTTTGCATTTTTAAAGTAAAATCAAACTTTAGCATCATTTTTGTTATATATTCCCTAAAAAACTGAAATCCAAGTGTACCCTTATAATACAGGTTTCAACTACTTTCCACAAATTAGGTGAACTCCAATCACTCTAAACACAACTATATTGAATTTTCAGTAATTAAATTCAATTCTCAATATCTGAATACCACTAACTCAAATCCCACAGCCAAATCAATCCAAATGACACTAGAAGCTACCTGCTAATCAAAATCCTTGAAGATCCAATTCGTTGATGAAAGGTGGCAGCAGCTTTTAGCTGCTCCAAGTTTTTCGCAACTACATTGGGATGCTTACAAGCATCACATGATTTTCCGCATAAAGATGCGGATACCTAGTGTGTCCAAGACAATGAATACAATGAAGTTATCATAAAACAAAACAACATGGTCTGTTTCGATAGAGGTGTTTGGATAGAAGGTTTTGGAGGGGTTTAGGCTATATCTTGATATATATATATATATATATATATATCAGATTGTATAAAAGAAAATGAAAGATGATCACAATAAGTGTTTGTATAACATTTCAGTCTACTATTACTCATGAGAAACATTATGTTTATCAAAATAGAGACAAACCCCTCCATACAGACCCTAAGGAAACATACAAAAATATAGAGTAGTAAGAAATGCATACCATCTCCCCGAAGCTCTCAAGGATCTTTTTACGGCGACAACCATCTAGTTCACAGTATTTGACGATCTGAACGTATCAACTTTAAAAAATCAGACAAGTTGAGTACCAAAGTCAATCAAAGAGTTCAAGAAGAACCTGGCTGAAGCTATCAAGGGCCTTCTTTGAGGACCCATCTTGTAAACTTGAAGACTCTTTCTTCCTTTCTGAATTGCTTAAAATGAATTCCTGCAAAGTAAAAGGTGTCTGCTAAAATAGCACAATAATGTTTGGGAAAAAAGAAAGGAGCAAATTAGTTTCAGAGAGAGGTTGAACCATTTTCCGACGATCGTCCATTCCGTAATAAACAACACTTCTGGAGGGCAATTGATCACGGCCCGCTCTACCTGACTCCTGATAAAAAGCTTCCATTGACTTAGGAACATTGAAGTGGAAGACAACTCTGACATCTTTTCGATCTATGCCCTTTAAAAATTGCAAATAAAAGAGTTTTCATGTGTAGTTAAATCCTGTTAGAGCTTGACGAAATGAAACCGAATATTGGGAAGTGCTGAGTGCATACCATCCTGCAGCCAAATCAGAAGCAGTGCAAAAAAGGAATAGATTAAAAATGTGAATTTCAAGCCCAAATATATAATATACGGAGTATATCAGCATAGGTAATGCAAATTTTATCATTAGATGGCTGCCAGCCACCTATCTTTTACCTACATTTTGTTACTTATTCCGAGCAAATGGAAAAGATACTCGCATTATAAAGGAAGTCATACCCAAAAGCCACTGTTGCAACGACTACTTGTGTTTTGGAGGAAATCCAATCATCCAAGACAGAGCTTCGCAATGTCTTATTTAGTCCAGCATGATATGCTGAAAATACAGAATTGTAATTTAAGGAAATGCATACAGAACGAGCCTTCAATTAATATTTCAAAAGAATATTCCATCACCAGCACATGAAATTCCGTAAGTCTTCAGCTGGGAGGCAAGATCATCACATGCTGTACGTTCGAGGCAGTAAACAATTGCACAAACATTTCCCAAAGATTTCAGGAGATTACATACATCAGCATATGGATCATCCAAGAGATCTTTATATCGAACTGCATCATGATGATGCTTAATTTAGCCATGCAGATATTTATCACAATCTAAATTAATGGAAGATGATACTTAATGCAAGATGCAGTGAAGTGTTAAACGATACTAAATGGAAGATGCAGGAGCAGATTTATGCTACTGCATAAATGTACAGACGGAGCTATACATACCGTAACCCGCCATTTAACATTTCACATATTAGAGTTTTTTTCCTGTCGCCCCAATTAGATGGGCTTATGCATCATGATATCAAGAGGAACAGAACATAGAAGCTCAACTGGTAGTGAGGCTTACGGATATACAAATAAGCTTACCATAACCAAATAAAATAGAGAGCAATCGAGCAGCTTAAGAAATTGCTCTATTCGTCTTATTCTTATTTCTTATTGCTTATTCTTATTTTATTCATATCAAATCAGAAATAAACTACTGGGAAGATCATAGCGAAGAAGTCGAGACGTTGTAGATTCAGATCAGATCAGAAACGTTCAGATCAAATCACAAAAGTTCAGCCATGATTTATAACTTTTATTATTATTATTATTATTAGTTATAGCTGTAATTATAATTATAATTACAATTATAATTATAGATATATAATTATAATCAAACTATAACTACAATTATAATCATAGCTATAATTATAATTATACCTATACTTATAATTATAATCATTGTGATAGCTATAATAATTATACCTATTATTATTACAATTATAATCAAAATTATAATTATAACAATTATTATATAACAATCACAATTATAGAAATAATATTATACCTATTATTAAAGTTATAGTTATACTTGTGATTATTTTTATAATTATAGTTATATTTGTAATTATTGTTATGATTACAGTTATAATTATAACATAGTAACTGATAATAATAGTGCTAGTAATAATAATAAATTTTATTATTATAATAATAATAATTATATATCAATCAATCAATCATCATTTACCCCAGTGCCGCAAAGGCTCCCACCTACGGTGGGGTAAGGGGGGTCGGATATACGCAGTCTTACCCCTGTACTAAAGCACAAAGAGACTGTTTCCGTATGACCCATAGTGAAAATCGCATCCAAAATTGCATTGATTGACTGCTGCTTCATAACAAAGAAGCGCAGATAGTTAGGTGAGCCATTTTGCTTTATTCCATCATATTCTCAAGCCAAAAAATAATGAATCTTTTGCTCCATTGCAAATGATGGAAACAAAAAATTTGGACCATTTCTCGATTTGTGCGTGCAATTATAATAATAACTATTATTATGATAATAATACTAAACACTCAATCAGATGAGATCGGAAAGATTCAGATCAGATCAGAAAAATTCAAACTAAATCAGATCTTAAAAAATCAAGATCAGAAACATTCAGATCAGACGAAAAGAACAATGGTGATTAGATCTGACCTTCATAATAGATATTTGGGCGGTTGAAAGAAGATTTGAGGACTAGAGGACTCTCCAAAGACAATGATCCAATGATATCATTCTGAACTCTGCACGAAAAATCCCAAAATGTGGATAACTATTATTAGATAGTTCTCTTTGCACAACGGATTGTTTGGTTTGAGCATTTGGCAGGGAAGCGGAGGATCGATTTTTTTTACAAATTCATGTGTATTTGTTAGCTGAACCCAAAAACTTTTATGACTAAGGCTTGGGTATTGTTGTTGTTGATGATGATGTGTATTTGTTAGGTTTGGACTAGAAAAAACAATATGACTAGTTAGATCATACTCCATATATTTCTACATAGTTTTGTCTTCACATTAACTCAAACCTTCTAAATGCAGAAATAGTTAAAAAAAAATAAACATCACCCCTCTCCTTCCCTCCCCTCCAAGATATCCTATCAAACAAGCCCTGTGTGCAGTTAATAATAAGGATTACGTGTTAGCAAGGTTTCATTTCATCAAAATCTTCTGAACTTTTTTGGTAACAATGATAAATGACAAGTCAAGATCATTAGATTACATGTACTAATCTTCAGAATGGTGTCTTTATAGTGATTTAATAAAAGAAGTTATACACTTCGACCCACAAGCAAAGGTCTTCTTTTATCAAGCTACAATTTTTACTCCGTGTAACTTTTTAATTCTGGTAAAGTACAACTCTGGTAAATTATCAATCCTACTTATGTTTTAATTACATCGTATTGTTTGTTCAAAATATACTTAAACTTGTTTGGAACACTTTTTCCAGAAAATATAAATTAAATCAGTGAAATTTTAACATCTTTAGTTGAAATTGGAATCTTTTTGGGACAAAATTAAGTTTACAAACACGACTCTTTGGGATGGAGAAATAGGTAAGAAAGGTTACAACTTACTCCTTCTCCGAGTATTTTCCCACAAAAACCGCTTTTACTTCTTGCCTCATGAAGAAAAATATCATTTTATGGAAGGTTGTTTCAGAATGTTAAAAAGAATATGAGATGGCAAATCCAACTACAGATCTATTTGAGAACAAAGATAAAAACTCACTTTGGAGCAGCCGTTGCTGTCAAGGCCAATACTGGGATATTTGGCAGGTGGCTCCTTAAGGTAGAAAGCTTCCGGTAACTAGGCCTAAGTTGTGCAAACAATGATATTAAAGTAAATGAGAGAGTCAGATAATAAATCGCCACCAAATAAAACCAATCAAAAGAAAGTAGGAATACAATACAATATGAAATGCATGAGTCGAGAGGTTATATAAATCTCAAAAAGCAGTAATGAAGATCCACTAACACTTGAGCCATAGACTATGTGAGAGCTTTTCGTTATAACCAAAAGATGTTCACCTCAAGTCCAGAAAATTAGAATAGAAGTACTTCGTATACATGTACAATAATATATGTTTACCTGAAGTCATGGCCCCATGATGAGATGCAATGGGCCTGTTGTTAATGAAACAAAAAATGCCTAATTATCTTACTTGTGAGATAAAATAATAGAACACTCAACTTTAAAATGTCAATATACTCCAGTTGATTTAGTTATGGAACATCATTGGATGGTTCAAAAGTCAAAACCTCATCAATAGCAATAAGGTTTAGCAATCCTCTTGAGTGAATCTTCACCAGTCTTGACTTGAACCCAATTGTATCAATTAATTCTGGTGTAACGTACAATAACCTCAGAGATGGCTTCACAGATTCCAGGTCCTCGTATATCTAACATTTAAAGAAAACTTCAGTCCTTAAATTTTAATTATCCCTGAGCACAGTTATTCCTGCAGGAAACAAAAAAAAACTCTTCTCTGGCACAAGAGCACCCAAAAAAGGCAGAAGGCTAACTATCCAGAACCGTCCACAAAACAGCCCACCCTGAGAGATAAATTATGCCAAAATCTATCATTGTGTGCATTATAAAAAAGTACCCTAGCTTACAAAAGTTATTTCAAGGGCATTGACACAATGGTCTGTACATATTGAGCATACGTGACTTGATAATAGCTAAACTACATTATCTGCAGCTTCCTACTTGAGAACTTATTAAATGCCAAAAATGTCATCTGTAATTCTGTATCTATCAGATGTCATTATAGACTAAAACTGGCAAGAGCATCTGGCTTTTATTGCTTACATATTAGACAAAACTCCACAACCATTTACTTATGAGAGGCTGCAATTCAGTGATGTCTTCTGGTCAGTGTTTACCTGTTTTCTTACTTGCGAGGTCTGGCTTGACGAGAGGAACTCAGCTGGAATTCCTTTGTCTTTCAACGCAGAAACTTGATTCTCCTGGTTTAATAGAAACAAGAAGCATATAAATAACAGGAAAAACAAACAATACCTAGGTATAACAGAAAATGGAATATGCTACTTAGGCACTCACCATGAGAGCTGAAACAAATGAAAGACCAATAAAGGCAGGCATGATCCTATCATTTGCAATAGAACACAAAAAACATGTAGCTTGTGATTCCTTCATGAGATGAAATAAATAGAAGTATCAAGGAAGTCACCTATTAAAGGGCTAACTACAAGTACAATCCCAGGTTTAGCAAGAGCAGGAATCTGGTAGCACATTGATTTTCCCCCACCGGTTGGCATCAAGCAAAAACAATCCCTTCCTACACAATAGACCAACATAAATAGTTGGTAAAAGGAAGATGGTAAAAACAACACAGTTTTTTAAGTTTTTTAAGTAATACTTTGCCAACCAGGCAAGTATCACAGAGTCACAAATGCGGGAAACAGTATTTCAAATACATAAAGAATACAAAAATGTGAGGCAAATGCCTAATGTGTAAATATAGGATATGTTTTCATATTGTTTTCATAGACATGCATATTTTTCACATATATCATACATCATACATGTATATATAGGGTTCGGGAAAAAAAAGAGGTCTTAACGTGTGAACAGTGCGGAATGCACTTATGCAGTGCTACGGTGCACTTCTCTGCTTAGGTACCGCACTTTTTCACGTTTGCAAAAAAGTTCATTTATTTGCAAAATTGTCACCGCATGTTTTTTATAAAAAGTGCATCTTTACATTTGCTTAAACTGCAGGAGCTGATCATATAAGCGCAGTCGAGGTGATTATAAGTGCATTTCGAACTTTTCACACATTAAGACCTCTTTTTATTTGATTTGCAACCTATGTATATATATATTCATATAAACTATACTAGAAAACTAAAGACAAAAATAGTTTGCATGTTCAAATATATGAATTGTTCACATTGTAGTATCAATGTATTATGTTTCCAACAATGCATTACCCTCTAGAATGTCCTGAAGACAATGTTACTTTGCAGACAATCAAGAATTCTCATAGAAATACATAAAAGATTCTCATTAAAAGACAATAAATTCCAGCAAGAAAGCCCATCAATAAAAGACCAGATGTTTCATAAATGTTAATCCAACAGTGAAACAAGTTTCCCAATATCTAAGAATCCGGAATGTGAAGTTTCTGACTTTTTGGCTCATTCCTGAGTATTTGAAACGGCAAAACACGAGCTTTCCAGGAGTGCGCAGTTTCCATGCTGCCCGATTAGCAGGCCAACGCACCATAATAGCTACAATATTCATGGCTCTGAGCCTCAATCATGTTGAATGTATTCATTTAAAGGAAATACCTGACAAAACAGCCTCAATAGCTTCTAGCTGCTTGCCCTGGAAGTTGGGGTGCCCGAAATGCCATCTCAAAAGCTTCACCAAAGCTTCCTTCTTAACTGCCTTCTCAGGTCCACATATGTTTAGCAGCGGCAATTGCGACTTTTTCATTTTCTTCGAAGCTTTCCTGTGGATTAGCACTGACATATTTCGAAGCTTAAGTAAATCATATTTAAACTTTAAATATTAGACTCCAGCATATATAATCCTCTAAACTAAACTTTGTAATTGTATACTGCCCACCCAAGAAGAAGTGAAACTGGTAATCTATTCTGCCATTCGCAATGGCAAAAACACATGAACATTTGAACACGCGTAGGAAGAAATTAGAGGGAAGACAGCATAAATGATAACGATAAATTAAGAAAATTGGGAAATTGAAATGAGGAAACCTAGCACGCTAAATCATTACAGTTAATTGTCAATGTATAAGATGATCTGGAAGCGCTAAATAATTACAGTGAATTGTCCAGAGCTGGAGAAGGCGACTCCAAATGGTTGATGGTCCGTGCTTTGCCGGGAAAACGTAGGGGTGCAGTTGGGCTTTGCAATGGTAATAAAAAATAATTCCCGCCGGCCGTGGCACCTGAAATGTTAATTTTGTTGATCAAGGGTTAACAGATCACGTTTTTGACGCTCTATTTTAGTAGGATAATAGAGGATTAATGATACTAGTAATAAAATATCTACCACCCGATTTAAACAGATTAAACTAAATCATAGTAGATCAGATCACATCTCAGTCCAATTTAAAATATTTATGGAACCTAGATCAGATCATATCAACCTATTAAGTTGTTGATGAGTGGCTAAATTTAATAGGACACCCTACTTTGATTTGGCACAAGATAGATGCGACGAATTCATATACGTAGTAAGAAAAAACTTATATGAACATTGATCAAAATAATCATTTAACTATAGTTTTTTTTATCCAACACCACGCTAAAATGAAGAGTTATAGGAGTATATTTTATGAAAAATTGACTTATAAGATTGATAAATCGAAAAACAGCTTCGTCAAAAGGGCTCTTAATTTTACTTGCCTAGTTTGAATATAAAGCTTGTATGGCTAACGAACTTAAAAATAAATTAATTCATTTTCAAGTCAAAATTTATTCATTCAAATTAATTGTTTAGTTATTTCTTTTAATATCAAACGGACACCCTTCTTTTAATTTTATAAAAATCAACATAAATTTTATTGTTATCACTAACAAAAAATAGCAAGTATACGATAATGTTCTTTTATGTCCTTTCATAAATTGCCAACGTAACTAGCCACTCAAAATAGCTAATTCAACCGGTTGTTATCAAACCACTAATAAACTGCTTTTAGCCAATGGTCACCGGCCCGGGCCCGGTTGCAAACCAGGCCGGTTTCAGGCCCGCCCCCAAAAAATAAAAGCCCGATTTGGACTGGCCCAGAACCGGTCCATGCCTAACTAAAAAGGGGCTGTTTTTTTTTTCAAATTCAATCAATTTTAATTAGTTTACACGAGCAATTGGGGCAAACGGATGTTACTTTTGGCATCGTCGTGTACCAAATACTACGGAGTAATTGTCAAGGTAAATTGATTCAAATCGGCCTAAAAGTTTGAACTTTTATGGCAAGGTTATGATATAGTCAATTAATTAAACGAAAAGAAATAGTGGGCAAGTCATTTTTCATTTTATATTGTCGATATATGCTCTTGTAGCAAATGCAACACTGAAGGGATGCGAGAGGAATGTTAGAAAAAACAGTAGATGTGTTTACAGTTTTACACCGTCATTGGGAACGTGGCCCATGTGGAAGGTTAGTAAAAAAGAAAAACAAACAATAGAATGGATGTTCATATCAGACAACAACATCATGTTCAGTGGTCACTATACAGAGGAGGATACATCTTTCACTGCAAGAGGTTCATACCATAGAGGCCCAAACCCAGCAGCCTCTCTAGCAGCCACATTGAAAGGCGGCTTTAGCGGACCTCTGAAATGCGCTTTTACAGTGGCATGAAATTTTCTAATCACTTCTTCATCAACGTCGGCAGTGCTCACATCACCTTGCAACAAGAGGATGTCATCGCCTAAATTTGGATTTCTTGACCTCAAGCAAAGGTACTTGAACCATTTCACCCCAGCAGCACAGTGGGTTATCTCTTCTGGGTAAATAACCGTCTCTAGCAAGTCAGCCGTCTCATTATCACCTCCATTTCGGAAACGTGAGATTGTTGTTGGCACCACATCCAGTCCCCTAGCCTTAATTCCAGGACAGTAAGTTGTTGGACGACACACACACAAATCAATATATATGCTTTGAATACAACAAGATGATATTATGTTTGATCATTGTTATGTGATATATATTCTGTTTGATCATTTTCAATATCTATAGAAAACATTGTGAACTCAGAATCAGCAGCAGATCTTCAAAAAGGTGATTTTTTCCTTGCTATATCGCTTTGTTGTGATTAAACTACAAGGCTATATGTCTGGAGTGAAAGTAATGGTAGAATTAACATCAAATTAAGTCATGCTCACAAATAGAGGTGATTTGGTTTTATTTTAACAATACTCCATATGACTTATTCAATCCTAATAAAAGAACAAAAACAGTTCAAACTTTTTCTTCTAGTAGTGAATGCGGTATTTTCTCAAGACAAAACAATGATAGTCCGGTTGAGGAAATATGTTATGGGGAGAGTGAAACCTCATGAACACAATGTTCAATTGCCAATCTTGCCAACAAATCCTTGGAGGTAGCCATGGCTGAATCCCAGAGGCCATCATGGGCTGGCAATGCTCCATAAAAGGAGCCCAGCTCCTTGAGCCTTGCAGCAAGCATGGAAAAATGCCTGCCTTCATCTTGTGCGACCTTAACAAAATCTGTGAAAAACTCTCTCGGCATTGATTCTTGCTTACCAAAACGAGCAATTATGTCCTAAAAAGAATGGATGTATCACAAAACAAGAAATAAGAAAAATTTATGAGAGTTACTCAGATTAATAACAGCAAATAAATGAAAACAAGTTAAATGTAGGATTTTCATCTTATCTAGATTATGTAAGTGTGAGGTAACCAGATCTTTTTTAGGTGAATAGGCCCAATTAATAAGTGTGATCTATTTTAGATTTATTCGTTTGCTTGGCACTCATGGTTATTTGAGATCAATTTGACCGGTTGTTTAACCCATGAAGTTGCTAAGGCCGATTGTGTCAAGTGTCTGCATTGATTGCTAGTCAAGGTCTTTATCTAATACTTCGTACTTCCCCAGTCTCTCTTTCTTTGTCCCATTTTATCTTTTTTCATGTCCCACTAAGTTTGTCCCATAACATATTTGGTAATATTTGGATGATTGCAATTCATTCTTACTTCACTTTACCAATTAAATATCAACCACACAATTCCACTTTCTTAATAACCGCACCACTCCCTCTTGTATTAATCTTAGCAATGTAAAATTGTTTTAGATCATAAATAAGACTTGCAATTTGGAATCTTGGTTGATAGTTTAACTAAACTAAACATATTAGTGTTGTTTCTATTCCATTTTTTAAGCTAATCTCTTAAAAACTTATCTTAGTTTAATTAAAAAAAAGTTATATCTTCTTACAGAGTTTCTTTTTAATAGTAATTGCTATGAAAATTAGGAGATAGGGATTTTTATCTTTATCAGTTTTTTGGCTAACTTGGTGTATACCTCTGGATAAATTTAATACTCCTTATTATATGTTTTGAACATTGTTTTTATGTTTGAAGGTGGTTGATGGTATGAATTCCTTTTTGCCCAGTAACAGAAATATGTGGCTTCTTCACTGCTTACAAAGACAATGGAGATATGCGTAATAAGTTAGCAATTTACATACACACAACCTTATCAATTCTTCAAGTAACCCAGATATTAGGTACACCATAACTCTGAAGAAATCAAGAAAAAATGAAAAATAAAAAGAAAGAGATATACCCAAGACAAGTCAATAGCCCAGCTTTCAATGTGAACAAGACTGTGCACAATGGCTTGTCTACTCTGCAAGCTTCCAGCTTTCCTGAGCTTCGGCATCATACTCGGTGATACTAGCTCCACCTACGGATTAAAATCTAACTGATATAAAAAGAATGTGTAAGGCTCTAAGATCGCAACAGGATGGGAATAATAATAATAATACAATCTTATTCAGTGGCGAATTTCGTCGAACAGGTGAAGATAAGTAAGGGCAAGAAGCGTAAGTTACTTACATCAGTGAGCCTTGCAGGGCGGTGAGGTACTGGGAGGTCTAGGGAGGAGTCATATGGCCGGGAAATGAGGCCCTGGAGCCATCTGTTGGCGACGTCATCTCCGATCCGGGCCTTCTCCACCGGGTCAGCTGTGTTCAATACTCGGAGCGCCGCTTCCACCAGTGTTTCCTCTCCGCTCATCTCCAGCCCTTTCGCACTCAAATCAAATCTCTTTCGTAATTCAATTTGGAAAGAAAAAAAAGATGATTTAGAGTTGTATTGGAGGCTGAGCAGCAATGTCGGGGAAAAAAAACTACTACGTCCTTCATCAAAAGAATGTCATCATCAAATAATGATAACAAGTCACGCCTGGTGGGACTCGAACCCACAATCGTCTGATTAGAAGTCAGACGCCTTATCCATTAGGCCACAAGCGCTTCTTGTCCACTAACTTTTTGATATTAAAAAATTAATTTTAATCCCCTTGATTAAATTATAAGGACTAATGATTACGGAGTATTTAAAATTGTGCTTCGTAAATCTTACGGAGAAATTAATACGGAGTATTCCTTTCTTCTAATTGTATGTGTTTCACTTTCTTTTTGGATAATTAAATTACTACGTACTACATTATAATTTATGAACAAAAATATTACTATATTCTTAATATATTATTACTAATTTATGATAAAGAGTTGAACATAGAAAATAATTAAATATATGGAGAATTTGACTTCGCACCCCACTTTTTGGGTGATATTAGACTTTGCACCCCATTTTAAAAAGGGGGGGAATTTGACTCAGCACCCCACTTTTTTGGTCAAATAAAAGTTTTAAAAAAGTCTTAACGTGTAAAATGAGAATTAACCTCAGCCGTCCAAAGTGTCGATCTGATACACAATAACCCTTGTCTGATGCACTTTGGAAAAGTGCATCAAATAAGGTCTATTCGAAAGTGCATCAGATAGGGGTTATTGTGCATCAGATCGACACTTGGGACGGCTAAGAATAATTCTCATTTTACACGTTAAGACTTTTTTTTATTTGATCCATATATATATATATATCACTAAAATAAAAATGTTTATAAAATGTGATTAGTGATGAAAGTAGTAATAAAATCATAGTAACTTAAATTCAATTTTTAAACTTAAGTTATCATAACAATATATTTTAGGGGAAAAGGGCAAATAAGGCCATGTACTAATAAAAAAAAGTCAAATAAGGCCTTATTTAGGAGGCTCTGTCCAGACGTCGCCATTTGAGGTGATTCCCGGTGAAATTTTTTGATGAACTTTTTTGAGAATCTTATTCATTAAGTCTAGTTTACTCATACCAAATTTCTGCTAATAATTCAATCGGGAAGACATTCAAATGAATTTTTGAAGATAATTGCGCTTTTAAGTGCAGAGTTATCTTCAAGAATTCATTTGAATATCTTCCCGATTGAAGTTTTAACTCAAATTTGGTATGAGTAAACTAGACTTAATGAATACGATTCTCAAAAAAATTCATCAAAAAATGCCACCGGGAATCACCCCAAATGGCGACGTCCGGACAGAGCCTCCTAAATAAGGCCTTATTTGACTTTTTTTTGTTAGTATGTGACCTTATTTGCCTCTTTTCTCTATATTTTAGTGACTATCAGTAAATAAGTTTTGTTTTAGTAATATTTTTGAAAAAACATTAAACATAAACATAATTGCTAAAATATAAAAAATTATATTATTGTTCAATACATTTATTGCAGTCATATATTTGTCATTATTACCTCTTTCAAATACTTTTTTATAAAATCAATACCAACTCACTTGTTCTATTTAAACTTCAACTACGATTTTAATTTTCCAATTACTTTGTTAATAATTGTGCTACATCTAAATGAGATGCATGGAAAATGAGACGGGAAGACAATGGAGTGTGTACCCAATTTGGAGTGGGAAAACCATTTTAATAGATTATAGGAACTTAAATATACTTCATCCGCTCCGTTAAAATTATTTTATCTTTCCTTTTTTTATTTGACCAATTAAAATAATCAAATACCAAATTTAATACAACTTGTGTGATTTTAAATCATTCATATTCTTATTTTGTTTATTTTATTAGTTCGATATTAACCAAAGAAGTTCCTTTTTAATTGTTCTCTTTTCATATTTGTCTGGTTGAAACTTGTTTACCTATTTACAATTAAATATTTATTAATTTGATATTATATTTTTATTGTTAGTGGTTTAACTATGAGACTTTCTTTCTTTCTTAACGGTTAAATGATCGACAATGTACAAGAATACTATCGATTCTTATATAGATTCTTCAAAAAAAATATAACTAAAACAATATTGAATTAACAATCTTCAAATGATTCAATTTTTCTTTTTGTTGGGTTGATGGCCCAACCAGGGGTCGGCCCATTATTTCTTTGGATGAAGAACCTTGAAGCCCAATAGGAAAGGAGTGTCAGACGCTCGTCTCTAGACCCCAAGGGTCACCAGGGGAGGTGATCCACAACAGCCCAAGGCATACCCGACGTCTGTCTCTTGACGGGACGCTCGGCCTCAAGACCCTTAGCCATCGAGACTACCCAGCGCACTCCAGCATCCACACCAGCGATACGGTGGAGATGCTCAGCCTCCTCCCCTTTTTCCATTGCTAGAAGAAGGCCCAAGACCCAGGGGACGCTCGTCCCCAAAGCTTGGCGGGAAACCAATATTCTGGCGGGAAGCACATTTAATGCTAGAGATTTTGTGGTCGGGAGCCCAGCCATCCACAACTCTCCACGTCAGCACACCTACGTACCCCTTGGTAGTATAAATAGTAGCATTTATTTCATTATAAATGATTGGCAAATTATTCTCCCAAGCATTCTAGCTTTTATTCTCATCAGCTCTTGCTCAGCTAGAAAGACGATCGGCCTCAGGCCAGGTAGCATAGTGTGTTGTATACGAACACTTAGGACATGTTTACTTCACGGGTTACTAAACGGTGTTTACTAAGACCTGCGTTAATAAGTGGCACATAAAATAAGCAACATTGTAAGATCGTGTTTACTTCACAAGGTTTAAAACATTGTTTAGCGTTAAAATGTCCAAAATAACCCTATACATATATTGACACACAAACATTCATGAACACAAGTATTATGTGTACCCATGCCCCCAACCCTTTACCCCCACCCTAGACCCCACCACCCCACACCCCCACACCCTAGGCCCCTTACCACCCTACCCCTACCCCCTACCACATCATCACCACCCCGACCCTACCATACTCCTACCCTACCTTACCTTGAACCCACCACTACCACGTCCTCAACCCCTAGGCCCTTACCATCCCACCCACTTACCCCCCTAACCCCCTACCATACACCCTATATTACCCTACTTCTACCCATACCCTACCCTACCTTACCCCGACCCCAGGCCCCTACCCTACCCCACATAGGGTGGGGTCAGAGGTGGACCGACTACCAAGCGGTAGGGGGTTGGGTGGAGGGGGGAGGGTAAGGGGTAGGGTGGGGTGGTCGGGGCGGTGCCAATGTGGTAGTGGTAGGGTGTTGGGGTAGGGTGGTAAAGGGCCTAGGGGTAAGTTAGGGTAGGGGTGGGGTCGGGGTAAGGTAGGGTAGGGTATGACACTGTGGGGGGTGGGGCCGATGTGGTAAGGGGTTGGGGTAGGAGGGGGTAGGGTGGGGCCGATGTTGTAGGATTGGGGTTGGTGGTAAGGGCCTAGGGTTTGGGGGTGGGGTAGGGGGCTGGGTGGGGTGGGGGTCGGGTGGGGATTAGGGTAAGGGTAGGGTAGGAGTAGGGTAGGATAGGATATGGTGGGGTCTGGTGGGGCCGATGTGGTGGGGGTAGGGGTAAGGTGGTAAGGGCCTAGGGTGGGGTGGGTGGAGTTGGGGTAGGGGTGGGGTACGGATCGGGTGGGGCCGAGGTAGGGGTAGGGTACGGATCGAGGTGGGGTTGTGGTGGGGGGTGGGGTAGGGTCGTTGTATGGAAAAGTGGTACACGAGGTGGGGTGGGGTAATGGTCGAGTAGGGGTAAGGTACGAGAATAGATGGAGGTAGTGGGTAGGGTGGGGGTCGGGTTCGGGTCGGGGTAGTAGGGTAGGGTGGGTAGGGGGTAACAATAAGGGTAAGGGCAAGGGGTAAATTCGGAAACTGAAAAAGCTTAAAGTGTCGCTTAATTAATACATAGGGGGTGGTATGCTTAGTAAGCGGCACTTTAAGCACTTATTTTGGTTAGTAAGCGGTTGGTTAAGCAGCGTGCATGTTTAATTCACATGTCTTACTAACCTAACTGTGACTTTAGCAGCGAAGTAAACGCCTCCTTATTATCATTTAATAAGATACAAGTATACAACCCACTGTCGCAGATATATTTTAGCTCACCTTAGTATCTTACTTGTTTGCACTCCTTATTCTCATACACCCTTCCAGTCGAAATATCTGGGTTACGTGTGGGCCCCCGGATTGAAAGAATAAATCTCAACACTTTCAAAAATTGAATCGAACTTATCCGTACATTTTTCTTCATAAGACGCTATATTTTTACATAAATATTACCAATAGTATATGGAGTTACAAAAAGGGGATTTTTTTTTAAATAAAGGGAAAGTTCCCGAAATAGGATTAAAACAGTTTGAAATTCCAAAACAGGACTGCCATGTTTTTTATTCCCAAAATATGAGTAATTACTATCAAGTTTGGAAAATACTATCATGTTTGAAGTCTGGTACTGCCAAAATATGGCAGCAAATGGTCTTATTTTGGGAATAAAAACATGACAGTCCTATTTTGGAATTTTCAAACCTTTTTAGTCCCATTTCGGATAATATTCTCTAAAAAAAATTATTTTATTGATATAAAATAAGAGTATAGTGTGAAAAAGGAAAAATAAAATAAGAGTACATGCGAGAAAAATAAACGTACTAAAATAAATGAAAAGCAATACAAAAGGAAATAAAAGACATAATCCCATGGGAAATATCTGGTTTGTAATATAGTCATCATGTTGTGACACCTTTTGTTCTTTTGTGATTTCTTGTAGATTTTTAGCTGTCTGTTCAAGTTCTCGGTTGGCAGGAAATTTTTTGGGGTTATGAAATTAGCTTTGTGGCAAATCGCGGTATTGAATTTGGATTTTTTAATTTCTTCCGGATATGAAATTGGAGGACGGCGATCACTCTCAGTTCCATGTCCCAAGAAATCATCTGTAAAGAGTGAGTCATCTGAATGATCAAAATCGTCTGAAGCATCTGAGTAAGCCTGTATCAATGGCAGCTAAGGTAGTTTCCCAGAAGAGAAGACATGGTTATTTTCCGTAGCTGTCGCCTGGATTTGATAATTAAAGATCAGTTTTGAAATGGATTTGGGGTCCTCGGTTTCTAAAGCACTCTCGTGCTGAAGGGATAACGAGTCATCCTGTATTGACTTTGAGAGCCCTACAAAATTAGAAAAAATATTAAGGAATTTAAATAGGCTTGAATTTAAATAAAATCTTTTAAGTTTTTCTCGTGTAAGGCGAATTAGGGCAAATTAATGTAGAATCTTCTTGTTCAATTTTATATATTATAAAGGGAAATTACCCGAAAGAAGACTAAAAATGTTTGAAAATTCCAAAATAGGATTGTCATATTTTTATTCCCAAAATAGGAGTAGTTACTGTCATGTTTTGGCAGTACCACTCTTTAAACGCGGCGGTATTTTTCAAACTTAGCAGTTATTACTCATATTTTGATAATAAAAACATCGCAGTCATATTTTGAAATTTTCAAACTTATTTACTCATATTTCAGGAACATTCTCTATTATAAAAGGATAAAACTCAAAATTTAATTGTTAAACCTTGCATATCAAGATCATCTTGGTATTGAACTTCTAACACAATACTATTCCAGGCCCAATTAGCCGGCTTGTAATCTCGGATAAATAATTAGTCAAATTTAATATGATTCTGGAAATCGATCTATGCATACTTGTGAAGAATAGAAAACAAAAGAGCAAATTCACAAATATTTTTCAATTAAGAGAAAAGACAGCCATAGAAAATTATTGTACTAAAAATGAATTAAAAGTCCACACAAATCTGAAATATTAAAAATTTATATTGGTTACATCAAAAAAATTTACTCTTATAATCATGCATTCCTGCACTCAATAGTCAATAGACTCGGAGAGTGTTTGAATATGATTCTTAAAACTGATTCTTAGGGAGCAGAAGCAGAAGTTGAAGTGTTTGAATGAATGTGCAAAAGTGTTTTTGGTGCTCTAATTAACTCCTGGAACCAATTTTTTAAAAGATGTAGATGATCAGTTTCTGAAAACTGATTCTGATTCAAGCTTCTGCTTTAAAAAAGAAGGAGAAACATAATTAATTTCATACACAAACATCCCTCAATACCTATAAACTTTAGAAATTTACCCCTAAAATCCTTACAAAATTCACCGCTTCATATTCCAACTCTCGCACTGCTCGTGTGAGCACACTACCGTCGATATCCTCGCCACGCCTAAACGATGGCGGAGCCTGCCCCTTCCTCGGCCAGCATCGGTGGCTCTACAGTCGCTGAAGAAGAACAGAGAAATAAACCTATCAACCCTCTGCTCTCCCTCCTCTCGGCCTTTCTTCAGCTCTTTAAACCGCCGCCTTCGCCGAAGCCCGCCGCTCCTGAAGAAACTCAGCCCATTAGTCCGAAACAAGAACTTCCAAAGGAAGAAGAGAAACCTTCTGTGGTGAAGTTTCCTAAGGCGGAATTCCCCTCCTTGAAACTCGAATCCCAAGAATCTGAGACAGATACTAACCCCGTCGTCCTATGGCAGGTATTGTAAATAACTAAATATTATTGAAATGAAATTCTATTTCAGGTTTCCCATTTCAATTTAGGGATATCATTGTTTCTTTTATTTATAAAATTCGAATAAGATGAAGTACTTTATGGATTTCTTTCTCTTGTACTGTGGAACATATACTTGTATTTCCATTTCCATCGGTTTCCCAACTTATATGGGAAAATGTTTCAGTGCAAAACAATCCCTTTAATCTTTATCCCTGCAACTTGTTTCCTGCAGTCAAATGATCTTAAAGTATGTTTTTTTGCACAAAGCCTTACAACTTTTATCTGACTCAAAAAATTAACTATTTAGTTTCCATTTAAAGTATAGTTATTTTCTCCAAGTCTAAATCTCAATCACAAGTTTTAGAGGGTGTTTGGAGCTAGTCTCCTCCAACTTCTAAAAACCGCTTTTAAGAGCAAATTGGAGCACCCAAAAGTGCTTTTACTATTTCACCCAAGCACTCTAATATATGTTTTTGCTCTGTGAAGGAGCAGAAACATTTTCAAGAAGCAGATCCAAACACTCTCTTATACTTCATTTTATGACCAAATTTTGTGGAACTATGTTGATTGAACATGGTGTAATATGATGAAAGTGTGTAAATTTCAGGTTTATGCTATTGGTGGGTTCTTTGTTCTGAAATGGGCATGGAGTAGATGGAATGAAAGGAAGTTGAAGAAGAGGCCATCCAATGAAAACACACCCCCACCTTCTATGGACTGATTGATTATTTACTCCATGAGTGTTTTCTACATGATAGCTTTTATGATATGAGTTTCCGTTTGTTGCATTAAATCCATATTGTAAAAGACTTTTAACATTCACAATGGATCTATAGCATCAGTTTCGTGGGTTGAGAGCTGTTGGCTTATTGGCTTAAGCTCACAAGGGGAATGCCATTGGTTAAAGGGGCGACTGATTAGGTCCAATTTTGATCTGGGCTGAAATTGAACCATAATTTTATTCATGAATCATGACTAGGACAGTCCTTGAGAAAACTGTACAGGTCCTGATTTTAAAGATAATCTGGACCAGGGGAGTGGACTCCCAACCCAAGATTGGATTATCGGTTATGTTGACATGGCTGGTTTTTAAACTGGTAACCATGAAAGGGCAACCAGTGTTAAACTTGTAACTGGTCAAGTCCAATCTGGTTCTTCAAAATATGACCAGCTGATCTGCCATATGGCCCATATCAGCTTACACTGAATTTTTTTCAAGTGATAAAGTTGCAGACATATTTAGAGTCGCTGGTTCTACGGTAAGACCGCTATTTTTGGTTTCGATTAAAAGGTCACCTGTTCAGTTTTTACGAAACCAATCTGGTTCAATTCCGGATCTATCTCTACTTTCGATAATGATTCCTATGTTAACGGGAAGGGGGCCAGAAATCCAGAATAGGGACTCGACCAGATCAGCCGTGTAAAACTGTAAACCCCAAGAATTATGTCCTCCAGCTATGTAAGCCAGAACATTATTAATAAAGAAAAATAAATTGAACCGGAATATCAGGAAATAATAATTCTAAAAACTACAACTAAAGTCCATACACGAAGAAGAGAACCAACTTTATTAGGATATCAACTACTTGAACAAAATGGTGTTGTACGTATCTACACAATAATTATATGAAGAATGTGTAACCTAGAACTAGTACCCTCGCAATAAAATTGTGTATTGCCGAAGCATTAACGGCAGCTATCTAAATTGCCATTATTTGCCATGCATTATTACTTGTTAACATCCATCTTCTTGTCGACCTCTTGACTTCCACAGATGACAAAAACTCAGACCAATTTACTATTTACAGCCCTGTCTTCCATTATGACTCGAAATAACTATCAAATATAGAAAGCCGATCAAACGCCTCAAAATTTGCTTTCAGTCCAACAAATTGGCTCCCAAATTGAGTGCAGCCGGCGCTGGGCCACCTACACGCTCCTTCCCTTGTGCGCATTGGGCACAAAGATTCACATACCCGACCAAACCGGTTATCGGGTGGATCATCTTGCGTGACGCAGAACGACAATGAATGGTCCAGGTTGATTTCACCACCCTTTTCATTTCTCGAGTGAGATGAAAGAGAGTTTTGAGGAATCTGTGTTGGGTTGCTCTCTATATCAACACTACAGTCACCATCTGCCGAGATGTGAATTTTACACCCTAATGATTGGACTGCCCGCTTGATGGAAACACACTCTCTGTTGGCTCTCTTTGCTGAATCTACGGCTGAGGTACTGACACGTTTCTCACTTTGCAACTCAGCTGTCAGGTGTCTTGTGTTTGCTGCCATTTCTTTAACTCTGGCTTCTGCAGCTTCTTTTGCCTGTGAAATGTGAGAACTTTTACAACAATATTAATGGAAAACGAGTCTAGTGGAATACCCAGTCTCTGACACTGAGTCCCTCTGGAGGGGAACTTAAGAGCCTGTTTGTTGATTGTAAAATTTGGTTGATATGAATGAAGGTATCGAGTGGAACACATTTACGAACATTGTTGGACGAAATGACTGAAGTAGTACGATATATATTTAAAATATCTCCCTCCCCCGTCCCAACATGTTCTTCCCACTTTCCTATTTTAGTTGTCTTATAATGTTATTTTTTCAGTTTAAGGAAATAAATATGTGATTGATATCATCTTTCAGCCTTTCTCAAATAATATCACCTACACAAATTTAGTTTCTTAATATATGAGTAAAAAAAGAGGAATATTTAGGAACAGATGTTTTTATTAGTAAATTAAACAAATTATTTTTTATGAGGATATGTGCCATTTCCTTCTCAGAGAAAGTACCATTTCCTCCCAGTAAACAAGTATCATTTCCTTCCCGGGAAAAGGTGTCATTTTCTTTTCTTTTCACTCATATCTCCCGAAAAAGTAACTTCTACACTATTTAATTTTATTATACTCCGTAGTTGATTATTCAGGCAATGCAGTGAAATAGGTCGGTGTTAAAAAATCTTCCTGAAAGGATTCCCAAAAGTCTACTTAATATAGTAGCGAAGGTTTTGCTTTTCTCCATTATTCCTCCAAATGTAGAGTTTACCTTCTCCAAATCAGAGAATTTCTTAGTGATGCTGCGGCACTGTGATTCCACATCACCGCCTTGAGCCTCTGAAGGACAAGCCCACCGAAGATGGAATTGAGGCCAAAGTGTGGGAGCTAAAGCTGCAGCTGGAGGTAGCAGTGGCCCTCCCTGCTTTAACGGATCATAAAAGATGTTGTAATGTACGTGTGAACTTTCTTCTGATGACCGTATATCAGCCAAATACGTCCATAAGCATCCACATGCATCAGAGATACCGGCTTGCTGCCTTTCTTTCTCACTGAATTCATTTTAAAAAGGAAAAACACTGAAATGCATTATGAGGAACAACGAAAACATTTTGCATGTACTTTCTCCAAATAGGGACTATCTTCTACTTTGAACGTGTCAGTCCAATGGAACATAAACTTTTGGTCTAATCCTACAAGCATAGTGTGCCTTCTAGATGTTGAATGGTGATTAGTTCTGTCGAAGATATAGACATGGTGCCAAATTATTTGATGAGAAAAAAGGAAATCACAATGATCTCTATGAAAGACAAATAAATTGGCACACCGGCACAAAGCATAACAATAATGATATACTCTATCCATCCGAAAAAATGATCATGGTATGGCTTGAGGAATGAACAAGTATTTCTGTTTAGTCAACTTAAACAAGGTTCAAAGTTTTACAAATTAAGAATTGTCACTTTCGCGCAACTTGGTGAGTAAGATTATATGAACAGGCAGCATAAGGGGGGGGTTTGGGTAGTAGCTTTTTACCCCAAACTGCTGTTTTTTTTTGCAATAGCAAACGCTGCTTTTTGCAGCGTGTTGCTTCCAATCCGCCAAAATACAAACACCCCCTAAATGTTACTGATCAGCATCACTTTTTTGAAGTCGAGACTCTTTATCCAGAAGAGAATTCAGGATCGAGTTCTTCTAGATAGAGGAGACTGATGTACACCGGTTCATGAGGGAATTCCAAAATTTCAATAACAGATTGATAGCTTTTGGGCTTAGGGAGCCGTTTAGGCTTTAGGGTGTCTTTGGTAGAGAGGGAAGGATGGGAATGATTTGTGTACTATTAATTTTTTCAGAAATTGAAAAATGTGATTATAAAAAAATTATATAGAAATAAATTATTTAACTAAACATAAAATTATGTTCTAGATGGACCCCAAAATCCTTCTGTTTAGGTTTATTGCTAGTAACCCTAAGATACCGCCCCAACTTCATCAAAAACTGCTTGTGGCAATGCTCTAAAGGAATTTTACTAGAAATGAAAATTGACTTTTAAAACCAGGCTTTGTTTTCAGGACATTTCTTATTTTAGATAACTCTTTTCTCTGGACAGAGGAAGTATTTATTATATGCTTCGATGCTTGTTCCCCAGAGTAAAGCATCTAATAAATAGATCAGTATAAACCTGCAAGAGATTTACCTATTGCACAAGAAGTTTCCAAAGCGACAAGAAAGCATGCAATCCAAGACATCTACAAGAAATGCCTGTATTGTTGAGAATCAGTAAGTAACAAAGGGATGCATCTGTCATATCAGAAGAGATTTATTTAATTTTTAGTAAGAATTTTAGAAGAAAAAGGACGCACGGAGGAGAACTCAAAGGCAAAGGGATACATCCGCAAAAGCTGTGAAACACAATCAACCCACTGCAAACAAATTGAAAGATTTGATTATGAAGAAGACACCTCAAAAGGAAAACAAGTAAAAGGATGTTCTGCCACATACAACATACAACTGCATCTAATTTATCGTCGATCTGGATTTATTCAGTTTTCTCAGTTTCAGATCAAATTGTTACCATCAAATCTTGTCATTATGTGGCTCAAAATCATTTTGAATTTTTGAAAATCTTGATTTTCCTATAAGTTACTTGAGAATAACAATATAACCACAAAATCAATGTCAACTTATGTGTTTACATTTAAGGTTGGGCTACAAATACGGTGTACTTGATCTGTATTGGAAGAAAATCCACGCAGTAAGTGGTGGATTATACACAGTTGGCCGCAATGATCAGTGTAAATTAATAGCAAAAATAGATTTAAGGTGACAATTGTGGTGGACAAATGAAGATGCCGGATTATTAGTAGTAATAATGGTGGACAAAAGAAGATGCCTGATTCTTAGTGGATGTGGGTGGATAAGTCTCATTAGGTAGCAGATAAATGGTAGTGGGAGTAAGTAGGTGAATATTGTAATATCATGAGTTAAGGTTCATGTATACAGAAGTATAATTTACATTTGGAGAACTGATGATAGTGACATGAGATTCAAAAACCAACGTCATAATAGGATTTCCCTTTGCATGAAAATATCATGAGAGGCAACAAGTTGAGAAAGTTGTGATGCCCTACTGCAAAATGAATACTGTAACTGAACACGCACACCATGGCTGATGGCTAAACTACTTTTTCCCAATAATGGATAGTACCACCACCATATAGCAAATACAACATAAAAAGCTCCAAACAAAGCTTAAGGCCGAGGAAGATACAAGTAGTTTAACCAACTCAGCGATTTGCCAAAACACTTTCAGATGCAATACCACAAAAACCACAAAATGTCAAAATGAAAATTCAGTTTGTGTTAGAGGGGGAGGGGGTATGCACTGCTTCTGCATACCTGTAAGAAAATAGGGGAACAATTATTTTGCCCATGTGAAGAATTAGGAGTCTGAGATGAAGGCAAGCCCGACGATTGACGAAGGGGAGATGAGCTTCCAACAGAAGCCTGTCTTGTTAATTCGGAAGGCATGTTACCACTTCCAGATAAAGCTGGCAATCCAGCACGGTCTGAAAATGGATGACCAAATGCAAGCCAATCTTTTTCCACAAGTGCCTGCAACAAACAAAGAGAATCAAACCTGTAAACAATCATGTCAAAATAAAATACATCTGGAGAAGGAGTAACTTGTTAAAAGTCTTGGTTCCATGTTTCATCGTTTTTACAACAAAAACAACAACAGCAGCATTCAAGCCTTAGTCCCAAAAGAGTTTGGGGTCGGGTAACATGAATCGACATTTGAAATCGGAGCTAAAAAATATAAGAAAAATAAAAAGATGAAGGATAAAAATATAAGATAAGATAGAAAAGATAAAAACAGGAAGTTATGGAGTCAGTTTCGGAGGTGGGCTTTAAAGGGTTATGTATGTATCTTGATATAGAATTGAGATATTATTGTAAAACTTAAAGGAATAACACAATTTGTGATCATATAGCATTTTGACCAGCCTTTGTTTTGTTTAAAACTATTTAACAAGAGATATATACTAGGCCCTCCAAAGCATTCTACCCAAACGGACTGATAGAGACCTGGACTTAATGGTATCATGCAACATCAAAGATCCGATCAGGATGCTTCGTGCGGAAAACTGGAAAAGCACTCGAACAGGGAGAACCGCTCGAACCTGGAGAAGTGCGTGAACAAGGAGAAGCGCGCTAAGAGCAAGGAAAAGGTAGAAAGTGACTGAGATAAAAAGTGGAGGATCTGCTTCGACGAGTTTCGCACCAAACTGCGTAAACAACGTTGCAGGCAAGGTCGATCGAGGACAGTTTGCCAATGTCAGAATTCTGCAAGCAAGGTATCACCATCATCGCTAGCCGCTCCTAACTTAGAGTCATCGACCAGAGCCCAGTTATCTTCGTTAGAAGATTCTACCAGTCGATGCCTTCAGTTCGCAAGTTTCCTCATTCGCAGATTCTGTCCCTATCAGTTCGCCGAGTGTGACACGGTCAGGTGGAGACTCCAAATCGCGGCGATATCCCTATGTGAGCCCTAGTACGACGCCAGACAAAGGAGATACCCTAGGGATGTAAAAAAAAAAACCGACCCGCAATGACCCGCCCTGGCCCGAGACATTTGGGGTGGGTCCGCCCCGCCCCGTCTTGCAAATGGGGCGGGTCCGCCCCGCCCCGCCAATACAATGGGGCGGGTCCGGGTATTAGAATTCACCCGTGCCGCCCCGACCCGCCCCGACCCGTCCCGCTCAATATATAAGTATACATACTTTTTCTTAACTTATGTTACAAATATAATTCAACATACATATGTGTGTGTACAATAAATCATAAATTCTTTGATCTTATAATATATGAATATATATTAGAATGAGATGCACGACGGATTATCAATGTCTTCTTTATATATAGAATTTTAATAAATTTATTTAATTATTAATATAACTAATTAGATTAACTATTCAAGTTTAAGTAATTTTTCCTTAATTTTTGAAATTTTTAGCGTATCATGAATTTGATTTAATATATTGATTTTTAATTATTATTTAAAGACAAACATTATGTAGATTCAATTGGTAACACCTTCCCACAAATAAAAATACACACTATCTAATTAGGTTGCGGCGGGGCGGACCCGCCCTGCCCCGCATGGGGCGGGTCATGGGTCAACAAGTTTGGACCCGTGCAGGTCATGGGGCGGGGCGGACCCGCCCCGCCAAGTCACGGGCGGGTCCGGGTCTTGCAATACCCGCCCCGCCCCGACCCATTGCCATGCCTAAGATACCCTCAGTTCACAGGCTACATCATATGAGGAGGATATGTCCTTTAACAGAAATCATATCTGCTCAGGGAGGGAGATTGCTCTGCATATATCAAAGTGTGATTATCACTTGGTCCCGGAAAACATTATTAAGACTGGTATATTGATTATTGATAGGCCTGGAAATGAAAATGTGTCCATGCTAATTCCAAATTCTCAAAAATACTTGAACAGAGAGGCATCCGATAAAGAGAGATATGCAGTGGTGGTAGTCTCTATGAGATTCAAGGATTCTAAGATGCTTAAAGACAAATTCATGAATGGATTAAAGGAAGAGATTACAATTGAGTTGAAACTATTGCATTCCGGGATTCTAGCAGAGTTAAGGGACAGGGCACTGATTATCGGAGTAAACTTTGAAGAAGCTGGTATACACAAGGATGGCAGTGACGTCGTTTGGCCACCATGGAGAAGTAAAAGTGTCCCAGAATATCAGTTAACACAGCCTCTGACCGAAGGATTAATGCGAGATCACTTAATTGCAATGTCACAGATAACTCATGAGCAGGAGCATCCAGATGCTTCAATTCTTCTACAACCTTTTGAAATTCTGAACGGTCCCTCAGAGAAAGCATATCTCAGTTCAGTCCACATCAATCCTCATGAAGAAGTCAACACATTCTATAAACATTTTGCTGCCTGTGATACTTATCTGAGGTGAAGGTCACTAATTCAGATGTCAAGCCTGTGAGGGAAGAAAAGGGGAAGGCGATTACTGTTGACAGCTTTTGTGCCAGTGAGAATTTTACCATTGGTGTGAAAGTGAACAAGGAGGGTGCCTTTCATTACTTTAGAAACTCTCAATTTTTATCCCAGAGGAGAAGGTGAGAAACATTAAACTGCTGTTGGCTTACCTCAAAATGTATTGGAATCTTACTCGTAAAGAGGTTCTTACAAGTTACAATGGAAGGGATTAATGGAAGAAAAATTACAGATGAATGTTCTCTTGAAGTAAGTGAAATTGATGCGGAATGTAATAGTCAGTGGGTCCCTGCTCCCAATAATCCGACTCATAAACAGTCCTCAGAGGTTGTCAAAGAGACTGGTGAACAGAAGATCATTGTTCAGACCAGAAATGATTGCTCCTCTGAATCAGCAGAAGCCGAAAAATAGCGAGGTTCTCTTGACAGTCTGCTATGCTCTTGTTGCACCGAGCAAGTTAGCTGGACATCTTATTGTCATGAAGAAATTCTGGTACTTCTAGGGTGAATTTTTAATGGAAGAAACTGGGGGATCAATTGTTTTTAAAAACTGACTTTTCAGTTATGCATGAGATTGGTAAGGCTGAACAGGAAGGTGAAAGTCAGAAACAGAAACAACTTGAGAGGCCTGGCAGTCACGCTCATGAAGTTCAGTCACTGGTCTGGGTGTTGGAATCTTGTGCTGTGGAGGTTCGGGTACTTCCCATGGGGACTTTGGTTGCTGCCGTACCTGCTTCCATTGGACGTGCAGTTCTGGATGCATCTCGCGGTTCACTGGAATTCTTCAACTCGTTTTTGGGTAGAGTCCGGCATGTCACTTCTGAAAATGAAATTCAGGTTTCAAATCTGGAAAACAAACACTTGTTTGTTATATTCAAGTGGGAGCCAAACATAACCGCATCCTCTGTTAGCTATGACACTCATTACATGTGTATAGGGGATGAATATAGTTAAAAGTCTGAGCTGAAATGGGAGGCAGAGAAAAGACGTGCTGTACAATTGCCATATTATGTTCCTCCCGACTATGTGAAATTAATTCCCAGCCAACTATCTATTATTAGTTTGCTTCTTCACTCAGGTAATGATCTGGATTTAACATAAGGTGAGGATTGGGAGTTGTAAGTGGTTCACGGGATCGGTGGCAGAATAACCATGGACTATCCTTCTACTGGAACTCAGTGGCTTTATAAACAGAGTAGATATGAACGGCGATGCAGAATATAGAGGATTTGGGTACAGATCTGCTGGATGCATGGAAGAGTATTATGTCATTGAAAAGGATCAAGAGCATGCAGGAGGAGTCAAATCTTTGCATTACAAGGAAATAAGGAAATTTTGGTTCAACGGAGACAACTATCAGATTTGGAAGATTTTTGGGAAAGTTTCAGCAAATGCCAGGAGGAATGGATGACAAAGGTTCAAGTACCGAAGCTAAAGGCACTGAAATCGGTGAGGTACTGGAAAGAAAGGGGCACGAGGATGAAGCTGGATGGCATGGCTGCTCTTACTCCCCACCTTGAGGACAAGGTGGTTGTCAAAGGGGGGAGTGATGACAGAGAACTGGACTTATGGGCTTGATCATTTTCATTTTCATTTACCCCAGTGCCGCAAAGGCTCCCACCTACGGTGGGGTAAGAGGGGGTCGGATGTACGCAGTCTTACCCCTGTACTAAAGGACAGAGAGACAGGTTCCGGATGACCCATTGTGAAAATCGCGTCTAAAATTGCACGGACTGACTGCTGCTTCATAACAAAGAAGTGCAGACAGTTAAGTGAGCCATTTTGCTTTATTCCATCATATTCTCAAGCCAAAAAATAATGAATCTTTGGCTCCATTGCAAATGATGGAAAACTTATGGGCTTAATATTTTAATAAAATGTAATAGTGGACTGGGCCAAGTAATTAAATAGATTGAGGGAAGCCTCATTTGGAAAAGAATAAATAGAGGGAATAGAAGAGGGAGAAGGTAGGCAGAAATTGGATCTGAAATTAGGCCTTGGGAGTGTGAGACGACTCAAACCGTCTCAAACCTTTCTTCTCTTCTATTTTCTGTTTTCCGCTACTGTACGTGGGTTTACTGTTATGCGCCATTGTACTGGGATGATCGGTTCCTCAGATTTTATCAATTGAACACTAAATTTCTGCTGCTTTGTTGAGGTACCTAACACGGACTTACAGACCTTAAAGACAAAAGGCACCAGACTGTGAAGGATAAGATAGGGAACCATATAAAAAGTGCAAAGCTAAAGAATATCCACTTGTTACCTGAAAGCCTTTAATTGTTCGGTAATATGGATCAAGCAACAAGCTGGCAAGTGATACCAGTTGTGTTGTTCTGTCCCATCCGTCACTGAAGAATACAGTTAGATTTTTAGAATAAAAAGCAACAGGTAAAGCAGTATCAGCAGTTTGACTTTCACAATAAATACAAGTTTGTATGTAATAAAAAATTGAAGTGACAAGTAAGAACTTGGATCACAGAGAAATTTGGCTTTCAAGTACATTCAACACTCCAAAAAAAGTATAGCCAGGCTGACATGCGTTACTTAACTTTTATTCACGTGAGAAATGAAAGGTGTAAAAGACTGCTAATTGATAGCAAGCATCAAATATTACATACTTGTAAGACACATAAAACATCAATTTTCTCTTTTCCTTCTCACATCAAGTGGTTCCATCTTTCTTGCTGACATTCTGCTGCAAACAGGCAGCCTTATTTTGGACTCATCTAACTTCTCTTGTTTAAACTTTGCACTAGTGAAACTAAAATTTATCCTTGTTAAATGGAAGAATCAAACATTCAAGCATCCTACATTTCCCATCGAAAAGAACTGAATGTAAATTGCAATGGTAAAATTATTCAAAAAGGTGAAATCCAAGTTTTAAAATCCATTAAAACTACTACTCCTGGCAGGGAATTTCCCTTGTGTTAATGACAAGGGTAAATATGACTCCGGAACGTAGAAACAACAGTGTTGATAGCACAAAAGTAGATGCATGAAGAAATCTGGTCAATTTTAGTTAATTTACTTGACCGTAACTGATGACATGAAATTGGCTGGAAATTAATTTGGCCAATCTGAAAGTGCTACACTTCGATCACTTTATACAAATAGATTGAAAATGTTCAGACCATGCAACCATGAACTCTGGATAGGAAAACATATATCGAAACATTCAGAGCTAAACTTTGCAGAAAGCATTTTGATAGGAAAATGGCCAAATGCAACCAACTAATAAATCATGTGATCCAGGTAGTACTGTTATTAATGACATCAGAGACTGCACCTGCAATGAACAAGCACCGAAGCCGATTCCAGTGCAACACGTGCAGCAATCCAAGCAGAACCAGCAAGGACGCTTTGGACATGAATTAACCAACCAGTATCTCCAAGCGTTGAAACTGAAGCAGACATGCTGCTGAGGTTACCACCTCCCCAAGTCCATCCACCATGTCTCTGTGAACAACATATGGATATATGATAAGAATGATGACAACAATAACCAAAGTAAAACATTTATATGTCTAAAAAATCCCTCTAAAGTTCTCAACTCCCTATTGCAACAGTTAAGATTATTATAGAACAATGGTCAAAGAGCATCCAGCCATGTGTTTCATAAAACCCAATACCAAAGTCTAAAAGTACAAAAACAATAGTGAATCTTCTTAACTGCTAAAAAAAGCTTTGCTAGCACGAATACCTACAGCTTTTAGGAGAAACAAAAACATACGGGTAGCTTATTCTACTAATATACTGTACTAAATAAACTAGAATATCATTACATTAAGAGTACATGTCAAAAAAAGAAAATCAAAAACTTAAATGACACTGGGGTAACGTGAACACTCTTTCTCTAGCTTCGCATCTGCGACTTCCATCTCTCCTTCGCATCTGCGACTTCCGTCTCACAGTGGCTGGGCTTTCGCAGCCCGTGACTCTGGCTGCAACAGGAGGATCCTTCAATCTCAATGGCGGTCTCACTGATAACACCCGCCATTCCTATGCGCTGGTCACCAATCCGCAGGCAGGGCAGAAGGTCGAAGTGTCGCCGCCCGACCTCTCCTTCTCCGGCTTCCAAGCAGGGCTGGGTGACGCTCCCACGGGCTTCACGCTTCAGAGGTATGCCGGCTATTCTCTTCTCTAAGAAAGATATTTCTAGATTGGATTCTTTGCACCCCTTTGCCCTAATCTGCTCGTTCCCTTATGGCCGCCCCTCCCTCCCCAATCTTCGAAAATCAATAGAGGGGTTGGGCTTCTGTGATTCATTCTCTATGGATTAATTGACCCTAAACATACTATGAAAATGTCCCTCTTTACTGCTCTTTTTGTAGACTTTTTTTTTTCATGATTTAAGACGGTGTAAACATGACTCTAAAAGAGCACCACACTGTAATGACCAAAACCTTACGTGTGTACATAAATTGAAACCCAAAAAAACAAATGATGCTTCTGAGGTTTTGAATCCTGAGTCCATTTTGGTTACCATTGGACCGGAAGAAATTGCTATAGTCAATGAGGTTGCCCATGAGGATTCTGCCCTTGTTACAACTCTCAAACAACCTCCTTTTTCAAACAACACTAAAGGATATGTTGAGCAAGACCAGTGGTGCTCAAAGGCAGATTCTTCTGTCAACTCAGTTAATTTGATGCCTTCTGTCTCAGGTTCGCCTATAGTTAATGCCGTTGCCTTAACCATCGAGCCCTCACCCAATGCACCCATTCTTTTTTGGAGCCTACTGCCCCCGACAACTCAAGTGAAAAGGCCCTGGAAATTACATACTACATCAATGAACCAAGTGAAAATGTCCCCTTATACAATGATGCAAAAAATAAAAGTAGGGCAGAAGAGTCACCATTGGCTCCCCCTTACGATAACTCAGCTGAGGATAACCCATCCCAAAATAACCCTTCTATAGTGTCAAACCACTTATCCTACAAAATCTTTGACCTATCACGAACTCCAACCTCAAAATAGCTCTGAAGATAATGATTTTGACAGCCTATCTCTTATAGATATACCGATTGAAGAGGATACTTTAGACGGATACACTCCGGTGGTCACGAGAAAAAAAACAGTCACCAGCAACAAATAAATTCAATTCAGGTGCTAGAAGCCTATGATAGAGGATATAGTTCACATATACTAACAAGGAGCAAAGCTAAGGCGGGAGAAACATAGATTGAGTTCTACGTCTATCCCGAAGAACAGAAATATGAATCGCCTCAGAAATTGGTGCAAGCTTTGGCTTGGTACCGTAGATCACATCCTCAGAAAAACATCTACCCTCCATATATTCAAAGGGCGATTAAATTTCATCACAAATACAACAGAGAACTGTCTATGCACGCCGGACTCCCCAATAATTTTAATTACACAGAAAACTAGTCGATTTTGTAATCTTTTACTTTTTTTTATTATTTCTGCATGCTTTAATTTGTTTCCCTTAGCAGGCCTTGGTTTGGTCCTTCTGCTCTTTGTACTGCATAGTGCATACTTCTTTAATAAACCGGTGAGGTGTTCCCTGGCCCTCACCCCAACACGTTCGGGTATTGGCGATGTACCGAGACATTAAAAAAAGTACATGAAAATGGAAAATTTCCAGAAAGAATTAAAAGCATACCAAAAATGATGACATTCCATCTGATGAGGTGGTCCCATGAGTATCTAAGTACTCTCTAAGCCGCGCTAGACTCTCTCTCATTGCATGTATATTGTCTATCCCAAAGAAAACAATCTAAGGATGAAGATAAATGGAGAAAATGCATGAGTATATCTTATAGCCATACAAGGTTATATTGTTATTGTTATCAAGCATAGATAGAAATTACGAAGGAAAAAATATAAACCTCTGATTGAAAATAATTAGAAGAAGACTCAGATCCACCTCCCATTGCTCCATTTGCAAGAGCATTTTTCCTAGGCCTTGCATCAGCAATGTATAGTTTCCTAGAAGGAAGAAGAATTCATTTTAATGAAAGAATTATGAAATGTAACTTTATAAATAACAAAACTGTGTTACATTAATCTGAAACTATGTCAAAAGTTAAAATGAAAAGAACAACTAAAGGGGGGATTTGACTTTGAACCCCATCTGATTAAAAAAAACAATGCTTGCACCCCATTCCTTCACAAATTTTTGAACTGATGGCATACATTAATTTTCTGAAAATCTGGTCCAAAGCCCAAGACATCCCAAATATACGAGGAGCAAAGTCAAATTTCCCCATAAAAACACAATAGGTTGTTAAATGCCTAGGGAAGAGCAGGTGACCACTTGGATTTGATTAAGGAACACCCCAGCAAAAGAAATTAAATACTACAGTAAAAGGGCATAATCAAGATTCAGTACATGGATTTGATTAAGGAACACCCCAGCAAAAGAAATTAAATACTACAGTAAAAGGGCATAATCAAGATTCAGTACATGAAAGGGACAGTGACAACCTCTGCTGCCCTCCAGCAAATTGAGTGCAAAGTGCAGCAACTAGCTTCTCATCAGCATTGCTGCAGAAAAAAATGTGGATCACATAGGATTTGGTGCAACAAAATATGAGTTAATACAACTACACAACCCTATATATGGACAACACTTTATACCATGCACAAGTCTTAGGGATGGGAATAGAAAAATATTTAACAACAACAAACGCCTGTTTGTAGCATCCCGGAAAGGTAACCAAGTTGGTGGGACAGTAAACATGCTGACTGAAGGTGCCATATGTGAACCCCACGAGGGAGTGTCTATTGGCCATCATATTGAACCAATCAGCTATAGTTCATGCGAGGCTAGTTAACATCCTCATGCTTCATTTCCACTTAGGGCCACATAGTTGTTGGGGTGCCCCCATCTTACGCACCGTAAGGTAGTGGCTACAAGTTCCCACTATTAAAAAAGGTTTTTTAACTTACCTTCTGAGATTCATCATGAGACCAACAAGGGGTTGAGATGAGCGTGCTAAAACAGCCCCAGTTCCTAACAGTTAATCAATTATATGAGGATACAACAAAAAGCTGAAATTAATGCCACTTAATAGATTCTGTTAAGAAGTAAACTTGATAAAAATGCAAACCTTGATGACACCATGAAATTACTGGAAGTCTACAACGTGCTCGAAATGTACAGGCTTGCTGGATTTCATCATCACTGGAATCGAAAATGCAGTATTTGGTCAACAAAATGACAATTGAATAATGACTTCACCCAAATAAAATAGACCAGGTTGTGATCATTTATGCCACCTAATAGATTTTGGAATCAGCAAGGCAAACGGATAGGTTGAGCACAATGAATAATTAAAGTTCACACTGCTTATTCTCCACTGCTCATTAGAGAATGTAAAAGCACCATCTTCAATAATTCTATTTGAAGCATGATATGATCGTAATCCCAAGAGCCGGAAGTACTCGTTCAATAATCGAACATTTGAGTCTGTGTTAACAAGCACTGAAGGGCCAGAAATAAAAGCAAAGAGATCCCAAAGTCTTGTAGGCCTTGTAAACTTCAATAATGCATTGTATACTGCACGCCTCTACAAATCACAATAGTGACAAATCTATCATTTAAAAGCCGCCATGCAATATTACTGCAAAAGCTTAACTAGGTCCTTGGGGTTGGGTTAGTGCTTCTACATTAGTCTAGATTTCATTAGTGATGATATCACTAATTCACTTGGCACCAATATCAAGAAGGCAAAACCGCAAAAGGTCAGGTGGCTGGTGGTTAAGGATCCTATAGAATGCTTCTTTTGTGCTGCAGATATTAGTCATGGTATATTTTCTAAAAGTTTTATATATACATCAAATTTCAACGTTCTGTCAATAAGCTTAATTTTAAATTTCGAACAGTTTGCATAATTTCATGATATATTTAAATAAACCTTTATCTTTAAACGCAAATTTAAGTGTGCTAAGCTAACAACTTCCAATGCAATCCTAAAAACAATACTACAATAAACATTATTTAAAACCACACCATCATTAAACTACACCATCATTGAATTAATGCAAAAGCTTAACTAGGGTTCTTGGGGTTAGTGCCTCTGGCCCTCTACATTAGTCTAGATTTCATTAGTGATGATATCACTAATTCACTTGTCACCAATATCAAAAAGGCAAAAGGTCAGGTGGCTGGTGGTTTAAGGATCCTATAGAATGCTTTTTTTGTGCTTCAGATATTAGTCATGGTATATTTTCTAAAAGTTTTGCTAAAACATCTAATTTCAGACGCTCTGTCAATAAGCTTAATTTAAATTTTCAAACAGTTTGCACTTAGCATAGTTTCATGATAAATTTAAATAAACCTTTATCTTTAAACGCAAATTTAAGCGTGCTAAGCTAAAAACTTCCAATTCAATCCTCAAAAAATCACTACACTAAACAGTATATTAAACCACTCCATCATTGCAATAGTTTCAATGCTCATAATGATCAGCAATATACACGAAAAATGCCAGGATGGTTCCGCAAGAAGGAATGCTGTGATTTTTCAATTCCCAAAACATAATATATCAGCACAATGTCATAACAAATTGCAGAGCACTAATGCGCACAAACCTGCTTTGTTCGAGGCCTAAAACCAAATACAATAATTCTCATGTCTTTGCCTGCAAAAACATTGTATTATCAAGTTAGACTACCAATACATACACTGTACCTAGTTTCATAATATCACTCTCCAATAATATGAAGTTCTAAATACCCATTTAATTGAATACCTATGACCTGAAGCAGGCGCTGGGGTGGATTCTTGTCAGAATGACGGCTTGCTGATGGGAGCTTTGTAACCTGGAGAAAACAAAACATAGGCACTGTTATAGGTTTAACCAACCAAGTTGGCCCACACCTGACACATTTGGATTTTACTTCTGTTAGGCTTGTATAATTTTTAAATTGAGACGTTATACTCCATCTATCTCACTATACTTTGCCAATTTTTCTTTTATGTTTGTCCAAAAAACTTTGCCACTTTGTTTTCGAAGCATTGAATTTGTGGTTCTACTTATTTCTCTCTCCTCCGCACAAACCTCAACCACACAGTTTTTACTTTTCTTATTTCACACCAACATAAAGTTGGCAAAGTCCAACGGGACGGAGGTAATAGCAATTAGCAACTGTGCTGGAACAATAGTACGCAGTACAATATTAAAAAGCCAGTTTCTGCATGATGGGTAGTTCATTTTTTCAGTTCGCAGAGAAGCTTTCTGAGAGAAAGCAGACAAGTGATGGCCTGACGGGTAACAGCCACACAGGTATATTGACCAGGTGAAAATTATGATTCATGTGACAAACTTGGAAGTATGGTGACAAACATTGGAGACCAAGGGTTTCAGTCTGAGCTGAAACAAGACTGAATATCTGGAGTGCAAGTTTGGTGGAGGTAGAAGTAGTAGCAACAGAGTTGGGTGATATGGAGATACCGGTGTGTGATATGTTTCGTTACTTAGGCTACATAATTCAGAAGGATGGTGAATTAGATGGAGATGTATCTCATAGAATCAGAGTTGGGTGGATGAAATAGAAGAGGGACTAAGGCTTGGATGTTGTTGTTGTTGATGTGACAAAGGATTTACACAGTTTCGCTGGCGTCGGTTTTCCCAGGAGATGTATCCCATAGAATTAGATGGGACTAAGGCTTGGATGTTGTTGTTGTTGTTAATGAGACAAAGGATTTACACAGTTTCCCAACACACAATGAGTGCTAGAGTAAACTTTTTTATAATTGTTAATTTAGAGTTACTGAATGCTACTAAATTTTATATATTTACAAAAATACAAACTACATAAAGACTTGTTATAAACACACAAAAATGAAAGAACTACAAATTAAAGGAAATAAATAAATTGAGATTTAAGAAGTAACACCCATTAAGAGGGGGGATTGGAGTTTGCACCACAATTTTTCACCAGATTTTAATTTGCGCCCCATTTTCAAATAATTTGGTATTTGCACCCTAAACATTAAAATGTCAAAAGTGCACCCCATAAGTTCTTTTGAATTGGAGTTTGCTCCCTACTATTATAAGATTTTTGGACTTTAAAGTGAAAGTACTAATTATTTTTATATTAGGATGCAAACTCAAAAGATCACCATTAATAAGGTACAGAAAAGATTAAATGAGATAGATGGAGTAATCTTGATGTGGTAAAAGTTCTGGGAACTTTCACAATCATTCCTCGATAAATATTTAGGCTCAAATCAGAATAAATGAGCTTTGAGCAATGTGCATGCATGTTTGTGTTCTTTACATAATACTGTGTCAGAAATTGCTATTGTCCCCGTCGCATTTCGTGGATCTCTTTAGTGTTGCTAATAATAATTTTAATCATGCACTCATATCTTCCTTTACTGTGCTGCATTTTTAAATACCCTATCACTGAAAACCTTTCTTTGCTGAGTTCCAAGTGTCCAGAAACTAATCAGAAAGATGTAAAATACAACCAACTCCTACCCGTAGCTGCATTTCTTAGTCCACATGGAGAAAGGAAAATACACTTACAATCTTGTTAAACTTCTCAATAGTCGCCAATGGTACAGTGCCCAGTGCAATGATGTCCCTTGATCCTTCACTCTTCAAAATAAATAAAAAAATGAAATACAGAAAACTAAGAAACTAAGAATGAACTAGAACAATCAGCAAAAAAACACTAGTACACAACTAAAGTTATAAAGTACACAACAAATAATAAATTCTACTAGAAAAAGTGCGATAGACCATGCTGTCCATGCATATGAAGTCTGACATATACAGCAACAACATCCAAGCCTGAATTCCAAAAGAGTTCGGGGTCGGCTAACATGAATTGACATATGAAATCAGAGTTAAATGCTCAGTCTGACAAATAATTAGATAAATTTGATCATTATCTTGGAAATTTACTTTCATGATTAAGTCAAAATCTATACTAAGGAAAGGGGATCAAGTTTCCAAATGAAAGAGTGAAATTTACTACAAGTGAGGCCTTTAAGCAAGCAAATTATAAATTTGACCAGTGAAAGACCATGCTTACAAAGTCAAACAAATAATTAAATAAAACATGCAAATAGCCCTGGAAAGCAATTTCATAATAATGTTTTCTAATAAAGAGTGAAATTCACGACATGTGAGACCTAAATAAAGAGTATGCATCAAGAAAAGCAAAGTACATCACAAGCCAGCCTTCGTTTACAGAAAATATAAAGATGGAAAACGGTCAGTGAGCTACTTACCAAAAAAAGAAGACGAAAATTTGTAACATATAGTGTTCCAGCTTCATCTGTGTTAACAAGAACAACACCATTTTCCTGGAAGCATGTATTTAAAAAAATTGTAAGCCTTGACATCACAAACTACTTTCGTGAAATTAATGAGGATACAAAAGGACTAGGAGTGGATTTTGGCATGAATTAAATTTGGGTCAGCATTAATTGATTTGGGTCAGATACAAAAGTTAGACTCATATAAACACACAATTGTTGATTTTAATAAAGAATGTGAGAATAGTTATTGGGTGCTATTTTAGACGTATGAATTCTGAAAGTTTGGCCTTCAGATTCTTGTTTCATTCCATATTTTGAACCTCATATACTCCGTAATTAACATAACTTTTGTGAAGATGAATAATATCAGGTTCAGTTTGCCAGTCTGGAAGTCAAATTACTCTTCTATTTCTGACTGTCAAATGAACATAAATTATTTGAAAAACACTAAAAGTTAATATGAAAATAAAGTAAAAAAGAAGCAAACTTCATGTTGTTTAAATTTAGATGGGGCATTCAATCAAATATATTTGAATTTCATAATGTTCCATTAATGCACATCCAGCCCCTTTAAGTGAATGGTATGGAGTGGATCAAGCTTATTAGCATCAATAGTGCTATGTACATTCGAGATAAATAATTGTTGATAGTTATGGTGATGAAAATGAAGGTTTTAGTTAGCTAGAGACTAGAGAGTAGAAGTATAGTACTCTAGTAGTAGTTATTGTGATGATAAGTTAAAGCTGGTGGGTAATGTTTGGTAAAAGGATGACTGACACCCCATCCCTGAGGGCAGGTGGGTAATGTTTAGTGGTACCAAGTGATGGTAGCAATAGTTTTTGTGATGTGGGTACCTAATAGAGAATTTTTAAAGCCTCAAAATTTTACTTCCCTGTTTTTCTTTAGTAAATGGGATTATGTGAAAACATATTCCAAATTGCCTTCAAAATGCAAATGACACGTCAAACTTCACTCATGCCTACCAATGCCAAGCCTGCCTGCTTCAACACACTGACAGCATTCATATCATTGTACCAAAGTAATTGACACTTTTCCTCAGTTTCTATTACTACCGCCATCGCTGCTATGCACCATCAAACATATTTGTCTGGCACCTATGATGCACTATTGCTCACATTCAGTCTATGTTGACTTTCAACCATTGTAACCCACCTCAAGCCAGCTACTAGAAGCAATCAGTCAGTGCATCATTGTCACAATTATAGGTCCATCACACGGGGTGTAGGGGGTGTAATTGATATCCCCCCTTAGTTCAGAAAACTGAACACTTTACTGGATAGGTGAGTGCAATTGTTTCTTATAAGGAATAACTGAATAATAATTCATCCAATTTGTGGGAAAGGAATTACAGATCCCCCAACCAATTTTAAATTCTGAGGAATTGCAATTCCTCCAGGCTCCAGCCCACTTTTTGTCTATCAAACTGCCATATTATTATATCAGCTTTCAACTCCATTATATACCAAATAACAGAATTATCTGCCGTCAAATTTGTTTTATCTCATCCTACCAAACAAGAAAATCTGAATTCCTTCTTTATTCTTCGATTCCCACATAATCTAAGTTTCATTCTCTCACTATTCCTTCCTAACTGCCAAATGATCTATTAAAGAATATCACCTTTGAAGCTTGACCAGAAAGGGGTATAAAAGTGTAACCTTTAATGCACATTCCGATTTTAAATCAACAACATCCAAGCCATAATCCCAACAGAGTTTAGGGATTTCAATTTTAAATCAAACCTCATAATTATTTAAGCTACCAAAAGTTTCTCACGTTCCACACAGTTATTTGATTGTTAGGCTTTTCAGTGGCTGTCATACCTTCAGCCATACTATTTCCAGAGCTATTTATCTATTCAGACATATGAAACAGAAGACCATTTCTGTCCAACTTTGCATACCCAATATAAAAAGAATAACCAAACAATATGAAAAATGTTGATAAATTGATAAAACAGACCTCTACGATAACCTGCTCGGCTTGGAGCAAGAACTTTTTAATTCCCTGCCATACCGACCTCGAAATTGGCTGCGAAGCACAAGTAAGATTCAAACGAAAAGAAGTAAAAAAAAATTGTACAAAGAAAATTAACAATATTACCCAGGGCGTCAATAATACAAATGCAATTGAAGAAATAATGGAAACTTAAATTACTTCAACTTTGGTCCATTCAAGAGCGTCCCAGCTACCAGCACCCTCAATCTTCTCCGACTCCAGAGTGGTTGAGTCATGGTATGAGGCGGATCGTGCCGACCTACTTCTGTACATGCCGGACTAACAAGGCTAGTTCCTGAAAAATTTGCTCACAACCTCTTTCTCTCAATTTCACCAGAAATTTGAAGAAATGTGGCTCGAAAATATTTTCACGGGATCCATATTCTGATATTCCCTCTTATTTTATACTCCGTACAATTATACCCCACTTTTTTATTATCCAGAATTGGTTATCCATAATTGTGTCTTCGCCCATATAAGATTCTTCCGACAATGTTTTCGGTGGTTAAAATCACCACGAAGAATCACAAATGGTCAAAAAAAATTAGTGAAGTATTACACTTTGTTTGATTATTTAGAAGGTAACACTGAAATTGGATAGAATTAACCGGTTTTGCTGAAATTTATGATATTTTGATTGAAGTGGTTAGATAAGCCGATTCTACTGCATTGTGAAAATATTATATTTAAAATATATTTTATTAATAATGTAATGAAAATTTATACGAAAATATAGCTAAAACAATCTTCTACATTAATTTCAACCCATCCAGACAGAAAAGTAACTCTAACCTTACTTTTTCTATTATTACACAATTCAACGTCCGAAATCAAAAGTTACGTATTTGGTGAAACAGTTAGATGATAAGGCTGATAAGTCGAAAAATAAGCTTACCAAACACGCTCTTAAAATGAGTTGTATGACACCTTTTTATCAAAGGTAAATTTTGATAAATTTACAAGAATGAAGTTTTTGCCCAAATGAATCTAACTTGCACTTGTATCGAGAATTGGGGCCTTCGGTATTGGGACCGATAAACAGTGGATATGTACTTATGTCATGTAAAGTACATATCATAATTTTATTTTTAAGTTTGATTTGAAGAAATTGAGCTTGAGAGCCAAATGAATTGAAAGATTCATGTTTGGTTCGGGAAGGGGTTTTTATGTTTTGAAATGACAGCAAAAAAAATCCACTTTCATTAAGTGATTTATTTTACGTGGGTGGTAAAATACTTTGTATTTTTTTTATGAAGGATTGTAACTTCTTTTCGTACAAATTAAAAATAAATTGTATATCTGGTCGATCAGTGTAATTGTTTTACATGTACACTGATGATTTTCTAAACTTTACATGCAAACAATTATTACCTCCGTCCCTCTAAGATTGAGACAAAACGGAGTGATGTGCTTTAAAAAAAATAGAGTTATATGGTTGACAAAGAATTCATAACATGAGAATAAAGTAAGAATGAATTAGAGTCACACAAATATTATCAAATATGGTATGGATAAATTCTGTGGGACGAAATGAAAAGGAAAAAACAAGACAATTATAGTGGGACGAATGGAGTAGCATGTAAACTACCAAACAAACATTAAAGGAGAACAAATTGATTTTTTATGTGAACAAATTAGCTAAAACGGTGGTTGTGACATGTGTCACACATCCATCCAGTACGTACAATATACAAACATACCGCACATTATAACAGCCAATTATATAATGAGAATCAAACAACTGGATGTTTGATTCCCTATACAAGCCCGCTTAGAATCAAATACGTACACAAATATAGAAAAGTTGACATGTTCTCCATCAAAACAAACATATATGGAAATGAATTACACATTCTACGCCAAAATAAGGATAGGTTGCAAGCATTCAATAGCTATTTGGGAACAACATACACACTTAAGTGAAATGAAGATCTCATGGACTTTGGGAGCTCAAGGTGGTCAGTGATATGTTCTACTTTCTCATTCTTAATTGAGGAATTATCTACTAATTTTATTCCTGTTTTAGAACTCAATGAGTTCTACTTCAGACAAAAAATAGAGATACTCTTATTGATGCATATACCCATGTTTTACTCCTATTTTAATCAATAGCAAAAAAAGGTTAGAAATAAACAATTCTCCTTATTCAATAACTTACTCGTACAGCACGAAAAATGTCAAGTTATGCAACTTTGGCAATAGTTGGGAGCTGGCTTTCACCATTATTTTTGAAATCCAATAACCATAATATTTAACTATTATAAGTATATATTAACAATTTAATATACAAACTTTAATGTTAAAAACTTCTCCAAAAATTGTTAGCTTAGCCATTGCGTTAATAGATTATTTTAGGCCAAACAAATATTCTAATGAGATAATTAAACTTGTTACTAGAAGTAAATGAAATGATTTCCTTCACTTAAATGTTGGAGGCAGAAGCCATGTTTACGGATAAAAAGATAGTTTTTTTAAAATTTAGGCTCTGATACCATGTGGGAATATTTAATAGACTTAATCTACAATGCTTGAGATTAATTTAAAGGGATTAATATTATTACTCATACTAACAAGGTGCATCTCCCTCCTTTTAAGGAAGATAATCAGTTAAGAACTCCAAGTTAAGCTAGCGTGCTTGCACGGGAGTAGTCTTGGAATGGATAACCCCTGGGAATTTTCTCAGGGCGCATGCGAGTGAGGGCAAAGTGCACGGGTGAGGACAGTACTAGAGCTCAGGATAGCATTTGGGAGTAACTACCTCAGGCCCTGCGAGGTTGGGGTGTTACAAGTGGTATCAGAGCAACCATGTGATAGTGTGTTAACCTATTGGACATCGAATGAGCATTTAGCAAGGGAGGATTATGGGTTTTGATTGATATTGGTTTATGCCCGCAATGAGGACGTTGCATTCCTAAGTGGGGGTGATTGTAATGTTTGAGATTAATAGTATTACTCATACCAACAATGTGCATCTTTTTTTAACGAAGCTCATCAGTTAAGAACTCCAAGTTAAGCGTGTTTGCACAGAAGTAGCTTTGGGATGGGTGACCCCTGGAAAGTTTCTCAGGGCGCACACGAGTGAGAACAAAGTGCGCGAGAAAGGCTCGTGCTGGTAAGCCTCATAAATGTATGCATTTTCTTTTTTGAAAGCAAAGCCATTTTTTCATGGAGGCAACCATGGATATACTCACATAAATTTGTAAGAGGGTGGGAGGACCATGTATCTCCCTTCCCAGATGTGGCGAATCAAAATAATACATGTATTGGTTGGTTTTAACTTTTAAAAGATAGTATCAATACAAACACCTACACTAATGCATGGTCAACAAATTCGTTATATCCCCATTTTTTGTGAAAAATTGAAGTCTGGACTTTATAACAATTTGTCATTTTTTTATTGCAGAAGCGTGCTTTGCATTTGCTATCCACGCAATCATGATGGCTCAATCAGCGATTATTGCTAAATACGAAAATATAGAACCCATTCATCTGTCATTGCAGTACTTGAAAGACATGTGCAATTCCAAACCTCACAAATGTATGTATAATAATAAAATAGTTGTAATTACATGTCCTATGCACAAAATAATCCTATATGTTTTTTAGTTTTCATAAATCCACAAGTTGTAACCAACCTACCTGTTGTCGAACTATTTGATCTTACCAAATTATCAAATAAGCTATACGCTTAATATTTTCAAAACCCATATATAGAGATTCTAGAAAGATTAATGAGAATGAGTGAATGACAACTAATGAAAATCTAAATATTTAAAATGATGGAAAGATTGCACCAAAATAAAACATACATACTGTTGTTTGCATTCAATAAATGCCAAATTCAACTAGATATACGCGAGTATAAGAAACCAACCTCATAAGTTTTTTGGGTTCTAGTAGAAGTTGTAGCAATGGAGAAACAATTTTGAACAAGTGCTAGATTAAGTTCGATTGTGAACGAGTAATTGCACTAAAATGACAAGCATGAGGTAAGATTTAAGCAGCACCTTTCAAGTTATTGTAATTAGAGATACACCTAAGGTGTTAGTCTTCATGGTCATCTTGGCTCGTGTGCACTTCTGTGACCCCATGTAGTATCATCTGCTTTTCCCGGGTTGCGTGAGCTTGTTTTGTACAATTAACTTGTTTCGCATGAACTCATCCATTCAAGATAGTAAGTAAATTTGTTTGTAAAATTTATAATTTTCATATTCAGTTTAGTTGTAGAGTTGTTGTGCGGGTTGGTGTAATTCTTGGGCGACTAACATGCAACAACGCATAATCAATATTAGTCACATATAATCCTAATTTTAGTTTGTATGTTGGTGGACCATGGTAAATGCATGATACTCTCTCCTTCTGTAAGCTCACGTGGAGTTGTATATATTAGACCATTCATGTACGAAACAAGGCAACAAAGTAAACAATGTTTTTATCCTTCATACATATTGTGCCCACTTTCTCAAGGTATCAGAGCGGGATGACCTTTAAGGAACGAACACTGTTGCGTGACAAACATATATAAATGGGTGATCCCGCGAACAAGACAAAATATGACACAGTGATGGGAAAAAAATTGGGCTGAAGGAATACTAACGAAAAGTTAATGATCCAGCCTCATCCTTCTACTTACCAAATAATGACATCCCTGACGTAAATATGTGTGGGATTGCGCTGAAAGGAGAACGCAATTATAGGGAATTGTTAATTGCCATGCGTGATGCTTTTAGAGAAAAAGGAAAATTATTTTCCTTGACGGAACGATCAAGAATTCAAGATGTTGGATGATTATGATTTTGATGTTAGTGGGATAGATAATGACGTCCATTGACTCATGACCCTGCGGTCGACTATTGCTTACATGTATTCCGTTCATGAGTTATGGGAGGATCTCAAACTCCGTTTGAGGTCACTAACGGTGTGCGTTTCGGAGACCTGGAGGATGCCATTCAATTGGCCGCCTAAGAGGACTGACGGTCACAAAATACTTTGACCGCCTAAAAACTCCTTGGGATGCGTTTGTCGGATATCGTAAGATGCCCCAGTGTGAATGTGGAGGTTGTAAGTGTGATTTAGAGAAGTGACTAGTGTAACACCCGAGGCATGCCCCGGTAGTGTTAATATGATATGGGTCTGGTGACAAATACTAATAAACATCATAAACTATTCATGTGAATGATCAAAAGTTTGGTGATTTCTTTTATAAACTAACCACCACCATGAAATACGGTTGAAGAATCATCATCTTTTGGAGTACTAATTTGTGGTTATATTTTGGTTATGTGCTTATTGTTGTAATAGTTAGTAATTATTGTCATATCATATGACGACACAAAAATCTTTATTGTTTGATTTATAGAAATATTCTTCTTCTCCGATTACTCTACCAAATAAAGATAGGATGGAG